CCAGCTCGGCGCGCCGGATGCCGAGCTGGCGACGCGCCCGCCGCTGGGCCGGCGCCTCGGCCAGCAGTAGCAGCGCGGCGGCCGCCAGCAGCCAGCAGGCCAGCGCCGCCAGCTGACACAGCCACGAGCGCAGCGCGGCGCGCCGCAGCCGGGAGGCCCGGCCGCCCCGCAGTCCGCGCACGGACGGGAACCAGGTGAAGCGCGGCTCCCGGCCGAGAGTCTGCACGGCGCGGCTCACGGTTCGGCGCGGCGGGCCGGCCGTCACAGCCAGCCTCTGCTCGGCCGCCGACAGGAGCTCCCGACCGACACCAGAGCCCGCCCTCGGCCCCAGTCTCAGTTCCTGACCGAGCTCGGGGAACGGCCGGACGGAGCCAGAGCCCACTCTGTGACCCAGTCTCTGCTCCCGACCCAGCTCGGGATCCGCTCGACCGTCCGGCCGCCCACCTCCACTGCTGGGTAGCTGTCCTTCCACTTCGTCAAGCGCCTTCCGCCGGCGCCGTGTCGTCCCGGCCTGACGGGGCTCCTCACTCGCAAAGTGCACCCTCCGGGCGGCTCTTCCCGACGCCGAGCGGCCGACCTGGCGCGGCGTGGTGGCCCGCGATGACGCCGGCGTGGCGGCCGCCGAGCCGAGCAGCAGCGGCGGCACGACGGCCGGCACTACGAAGCCGTGTCGCAGCTCCTCGTCGAGCGCCTCCAGGCGGCGGCGCAGCGTCTCGGAGGTGGCCAGCTCGGCGCGGGGCTCGGCGCCGTGGGTGACCGCCGCTGAGAGGTCCCGCCGCCGAGCCGGCGGCACCGGCGCCGTGTCACTGGGTGGCCTCGAGCGACGACCGGGAGAAGTGGCAGGGTGTCTGCTGGCCGACTCCCGCCTGCGAGGCTCCTCTGTCACAGCTCTGGGACTGGTTGCGAGTTTTGTCCGGTGACTGGCCACTGGCCGGGGATTGTTCGCTGCAGGAGGGCTGAATTTCGTCTCCGTCGGAGAACAGTGCCTTGCTGCTTCCAGAGGATTTGTTTCTGTCACTCTTTTGCTGGAATGAGGCACTGGAATTATTTCAATATCCCCCGATATAGTTCCGTTTTCTCCACGAATGTTGACCTTTATCTCTGGTTCTCTCTCCGATCCGCGGAGTGAATCATCAGTCTGGGTAGGCGCTCGTTCCTTTTCTCTCAGTGTCTCGGCTGTCTGAGCCTGCTGTGTCGGTTCCTTTTGCACAGCCTCTCCCGCCTCTGGTGTCTTCCCGTCCACGCTCGGAGCGGGACCATCTCCTGACCCGAGTCCGTTCTCCAGCCGCGGCGGAGCGGCACGTCTGCTCGGCGAGCCATCCACAGTTCGCGAGCTTTTGTCTACCGAGTCCGAGGACATTTCGCGAGTGAGCGGCGTCAGTGGTCCGGAGGAGGCGGTCACACGCGTCTCGGCAGGGCCCGCCATCGGACCGGCATCTCCTGGCGGCGCCCGTCAGGTCCGATGTCCAATGAACTGTACACAGGTGGGGATACGCTGCGCTGACTTGAATTGGTAGCACGAAATGGTTCAGTCACAGGCTCCGACAGAGAAGCGCTAACAACTTCAACACTTCCCCGTCACCCTTCTGTTGAAATTAGATTGTATCTATCGAACAAACACTGGAAGTTTCTATTTGTGACACCCTAAATGATTCACCCCACGTGCTGTGTTGTCGACGAGTCACTGCACCACACTGCCTGAACGCAATCCACAGTTCGCCTGGCGCCACTGCTGGCCTCGCCAAACCACACACTGCGTGCCACCGATCGTCACACCGACACCGACACCGACCGGCAGCCGCGCATGTCCGCCGCCCAGTGCCGACTCGCGGCCGACAGCGTCGCCATCGACGTACGCCCGTCGGCGGCCGCCAGCGCGTGACTCGGACGGAGCCAGTTCGCCGAAGTTGTCGGCCCAATCATCACGGAGGGTCGCCGCTCGGCCTGGCGAGGTCGGCCACGGCGCGTCGCTCGACCCAGGTTGATAAACTGGGTCGGGTTGCGTCAATCTGGTTTGAAGCATTTAAATTCAAGCTGCGGTAACAGTTGCGTGGACGGTTTACGGTTAAATTTTTTGAGCGAGAAAGACTCTCCGGCAAACATCCTTGCGAGCTTAAAGATTTACGTGCATTCCGAACATACCGAGTACAATAAAACACGAACATCATAATAGCCTACAATTAATTTTGTAAACGCCAGTGTTTGTACGCAAACAGCACAAGTATTCTGCTTCCAAAGCAGCGCCGAATCCCCTTACCACCTGTCTTGCATATAGTTACCGCATGACCAACTGCAGGGAGCATTGGACAAAGTGCGTAGACGCATTACCTTCCTCCCTGCCAAAACCTGGCATGCCACACGTTTCTTAGAAAGTTCCGGCGAACCGATGATGACTCATCACTGATGGCCGATTTGTGTATCGTCATGACTCATCCGATAGACGCCCCACAGGTAGCCGGCGCAGACAAAGGCGAGAGCGCGACTGGTATTGACGGAGCAGCTCCTCGTTCAGAGGGGAGACAAGGTAGGAAGGTTGGTCTCCGCAGCGTCAGCACTGGGCGGCGCTGGTATTGACGGAGCAGCTCCTCGTTCAGAGGGGAGACAAGGTAGGAAGGTTGGTCTCCGCAGCGTCAGCACTGGGCGGCGCTGGTATTGACGGAGCAGCTCCTCGTACAGAGGGAGACAAGGTAGGAAGGTTGGTCTCCGCAGCGTCAGCACTGGGCGGTACGCAGAATGCTTATATGAGTGGCCACTGGCCATAATTATTGGGATCAGCCGAAGGTTTTTTTAGTACAATATAACCGACATGAACTATGCTTTATTGTAGGCAGTGCATTATACAAAAACAAGCGGAATATCACCCAAAGCATACTTCACATATAACTGTCTTTAAACATCATGATAATTGCTTTAAACTTTGCATATATGCCAACTAACGGGTGTCAAGTTCAAAATGGGACAAACGCAAAATTAAGGTAGACACTGTGTATTATAAGATATTTTAATGAAACCTTCACCACATACACCTTGTTCTGTCGCCAGTCCACTGGTATTAGTGAATCTGAACCAGGGGTCCATGCCTGTCTGCCAGACGCACGTGCTCTCCCGCTATCTTCATCATCGATCGCGGCACCTCCGGGACAATTTTCTTGATGCTGCTCAGGATTCTGGCACGCAGCTGCTGATCGGATGACGCTGTCCAGCCACCGCGGTAGACTTCTTGTTTAAGTATGCCCAAGAAGTCCTCAATTGGTCCCAGCTGCGGGACCTTCGGCGGGTTTTCCTCGCGGATTAAATACCAGGTATGCCAGCTTCCTCCAGAAACTGGCACGTGGCACGTGCATAATGAGCTGAAGCCAAGTCTGGCCAAAATGCCTATCCACCCTTTCGGTAGCTGGCCTCGATGAACGGTTTGAGGTTGCTGTTCAGGCACTTTGTGATGTAGACATTGGGCGCTAACATTTGGTGAACTGGGGTCAATTGTTGGTTTTGGTACTCCCTTGGGTGATATGGCTATCCACACAAGAAGCGTACGTGGGAACTTCCTTATCGGACGGTACGTCACATTCGAAGGTGTGTCTCCACCAGGCCCAGCGTAAAAACCACGGTTTTGTGGCATTTCTGAGGCAGTGTAGGTGAAGTAGCTTTCATCGTCCATGATGACATCTTGCTCTTGAGTGGCACTCAGTTTTCCCCGGCTAAGGGGTCGCAGGCGGCCCTTTTGAGATTGTCCTCGCTGAGCAGATACCTGAGGAGATTTCTGGCGCATCCTATATCTTACCCCTTCCTCTCTGAGAATTTGTCTCACTCTGTCATGCGTTATGCCAAAGCTGCGGCCTAAGAGACGAAGTGAGACGCCGACTTTGCCGTCTGCCATGCGAACAAGGTCTTGGCGCCTCTTTGCTGACATTTTGGGAGCAGGCCTGCCATTCTGAGCTCGTCTTATGTGTCCTTTGTCTAGGAATGTATTGATAACGCGATATATCAGTCGATCGTGGAATACCAAGCGATTTAACGTGGCGGAAAACCTGAGCCTTAGTCAAGTTCGAGTTTTGTCAACTACTATCGCGACAATGTCTCTTGCGATTTGCTTGCTCAAAGGCTCCATGACGACTGACCTCAAAACGTAGCCACAATATTTTAACATCATGCTCGTGCAATTCACGTATGGACATTCTGTCCAAATTTCAGGTGAATATCTAAAGGGAAGTTGAAAATAGAACGATTTCAATTTTGTCTCATTTTGGACTTGACACCCGTTATTTCATAACTAACTGCTACTTATTCGTAACTAGCATTCCTCTGAAATACAGCGATGGTAATTAATAAGCGATAATTAGTTACCTACTTTAATCAGTTATCTGTAGTACGTGGCAGGGAACAACGGTGGTTGCCAATGAAAAGTGCACATCGCTTTAGATGGTTTTGAACATAAATTATCGAGACGGGGCACATTGATACTGCATGGCTTCAGTAGTATGTCTGTTATCAACGCACCTGACGTACGTAATACTTGTATCGTGCGATCCTACAGAGTCGTCGACACGAGCTACTAACAACAGCGGGACTAGAGTGCAGTTTTGACGTCCGTTTCCATCCAGTAAGACCAACAGCCATGCATTCATTCTTCACAGGATAAATAAACAATACCATTGACTACCAAAAATAAACATGTAACCACACCAACGCATACATATATCATAAGTGGTTCCTTCCGATCCCGGGTTTTCAGCACGATGCAGAAGGAACCTGAAAGATATCGGCCACTAACCTTGTCAAACGTTTGGCCGGGTAACAAATATACCTAACCCAGCCCGAGAATAGCCTCCAATCGCGGATAATCGCGCCCACCCGAGTCAGCTCACCACACATCCCGCCGACGAGCGGCTGCCTTCCGCTCTCAGAATGGCATATTATCGCTTCACACACATACACTAACACACACTGTCAAACAGACACCCACACCCACACACACGGAGCGGATACACGGGAGTTCTCACTATGGGCGCAGAGCTGACGCGCGGCGGCCCGGTGTCGCGGCCGTCTCTAGGTTTTGTTCGGGTCCGGCAGGTGGAAGTACAGGTTGGCGCATACGCATAGCAGCACGATGCAGAACGCGTTGAAAAAGATGAGCACGCGAAACTTGGGGTCCAGGTCGCCCTGCCGGTACCACCATATCTGGAAACGGAACGGGACGATACAGCTGGTGACATCTATCGGCCGCAGAGCGAGGCTTTACTACAGACAACACCGAGCGAGGACTTCGGTAGCATGAAATGCGGCATTCAACGGCAAAAATGCTGAAAAGCACATAAATCAACCGCGAAATATCTAGCGCCGAAATTTGCACGTATTTTTCCCTGTTGCCATTAAATAAGTAACCTCAGCAAAATGCTACCCGCATTGAAATGACTGTTATAGAATTCAAGAGAAACTTCGCCTGGAACACCACTGACTAACATTGACACCCCTAATTTGCATTTGGCATGCTGATTTTAGCTCACCACGGTGAGATGTGATGCACAGATGAGGACGATAATAACGCCTAGAAAGATATTGACTCCTCTCGGCGAATACTCGTGGAAGACGAAGGCGCTGATGAGGGTGATGAAAACGATGAGAGCGGTCAGAAATCCCACAACCAGGTTGATCGCCCGCTCCTGTTCAAACGAGACAAAACGCACAGTAAGGATCAGGGTATATTGACTTACAGGTAAGGATCATCTCGTCAAAAAGCGCGGGCCCTTTCTGGTTGTCCATTGTCCAAACAACGAATATGCAGTAAAAAAGAATAGATATTTGACCATAAAACATAAAGATGAAATCTGGTGTCCAATCCCACAAAGCGGATGACTAGAAAGATGTACATATAAGAGGCGAGCAAAAGGGCGTGACATTTCCCTCAGATTACAGGTGTAACTGCACACGGATGCAGGGAGGACCCCGTCCGTCTGTGGGTGGGCAAACCAAGTACCAATCGCTGCACCGGTCGATCAGCTAACGAGGGTTGGTGGCGGGTCTCACCCGTGGCCGCGACTCGCTGTTGCCGAACAGCGGATGCTCCAATCAGTGGTGCTGAGTGTGACTCCATCGGCCTCCACCTGCAGGGAAATGGACAGCCAATCAGTGGTGCTGAGTGTGACTCCATTGGCCTTCACATTAGAGGAACGGGCAGCCAGTGAGCATACTGGCAAACATGAAACAATGTGGAGTATATTAGTCTAATGAGTTCAAACAACCTGCAGAAAAGGGTATATGTCAAGTTTAGGTCCTAACTACAATTGTGACGCTGTTGATACGAATATGAAACAGCAAAAATTTTAGGTTAGGTTAGGTTGTAGGTTTGTAGGTTTTAGGTTGTAGGTAGGTAGGTTTGTAGGTTAGGTTAGGTTAGGGTAGGTTTGTAGGTTGTAGGTTGGTAGGTTATAGGTAAGTAGGTAAGGTTAGGTCAGGTTTGATTATGTTTTTTTCTTTTATTTGCGAGACATATGAGTATCATTTTTGGATTCAGGATGTCAAATAATGTAAAAATATGAAAAATTTATCAATGAAATCTTCTTAGGACTTAAACTTGACATTTACCCAGAAAAGTAGGCACCTTGACCGTGCGCTGCTACTAGTGCTGAGTGCTGACTGTTTGAGTTTCTGTTTATTGCCTGAAACAGAAGATACGGAGCTGCTTAATTTATGTACACAATCTAACTAAAAATCAATTTACGGTCAAATACCCAATACCCAATTTACCGCTAAATGCAGGAGACGGATCAAGAACGCTCAGCGCAAAGCAAAACACAATATTCAAAAAGATTCTTCAATATATTCAATACGAATATTATTATAGGCGGATTAGGTGCGCCATATATTGGATCAGGTACTTTGTGTTTGTCTATGTGCCATATCTAGTAGAGTAGCTAGAAGGTTATATTCCGAGACGGTTCATTTTTAATCCTACCAAACCCAACCTCCTGATAAACAGTTTCGAAATAACGAAAGAATGAAGAAAATAAAAGGAATAAGATTTACGTTGTTGTACAATTAATCAAAATAAAGATTATTTCAAAAATGATTTGGTATGTTTTAATTTATACTAGACAAAACTACTAGATATCACCTGTTTTTCACTAGCGACACCTTACGGTGTTTTAGTGAACTTTTCCAATATACAAACTTCTGGGTTTGCATTAGCGCAGAAGATTTTGGGCATTGGGAAGAAGGGGGCGAGCAGGGGAACTTATACGGCCTTGAGCAGGGGGACAGTGTTTGTTTACGGAGGTTTACGGTGTTTTGGTGTGTTTGGTGACCGTGGTTTTAGGAAGTCGTTGTTTTGTGGCTATGATCCGCTAAGATTGTATCGCAATTGAACCTGGGCATTGGCATAGCATGAGTACCATTTGTTCAGATATACCCCCTGCGACTTCTTGCAGCCGTTATTTCGGAAATGCATCCCAATCAGAACTCAAGCTTGAACTGACCAATGCTGAGAAGTGTGGGCTGAAAATGCAGAGTGATTTGAGGATACAAAAGTCACCAAGCAAATCACCCAACCAGTCTTTGGCTTCAGATCAAGATGTACATTATGAAGAAAACCAAAGATTTTGTGAAGATGGCAAAAATGTGCTTGGGCTGAGCAATGTCTTGGTGAGCAATGGACGAACTGAAGATGAGCTGTCTGACAAGTGCTTGACTAGTCAGTCAGGGGTGGCATATGAGAGTGGTGCTAGTGGTCTTTCAAGTAGTCTTAGCTTAAGCACGTCCATCCATGCAAGCCAGTCATTCACTGAGAGTTCCTCGGCCATGAATAGTAGTTCAGGTGGTTCTCCACCAAACCTATGGTCTACAACATCTGCAGATCAAAGCATCATGGGCAGAATGCAGGCAGCAAATGGTGCACAGTACCCAAGTCACTTTCCATCACACACACAGATGCATGCCTCCAATCAAAATGCGTTGATTGGGGGTGGCTGTGCATCCCAGTATAACATTGCATCACCAAGCCTTGGCCAGAGAAGACATGTAACAGCTGCACACAGCATGACTCCAAGCCAAACCCAGAAGCATTATGTGGATAGCAAGAGCTACCCAGCCTGGTCAGCAGTGAGTGGATCTCAGCACAACAGCTGGGGTGCTGGAGCTCAACCACAGCAGAACCTGACTGCCATGCCTAACTGGAACAGGGTTCCAAAGGTCTCTAATCATCACCAGGTCCCCATGACACACTTTCCAGCTAGTATGTCTGGAAACAGCTCTAGCATGGCCCAGAAGTACAACTCATTTAGCCAAGCTGGTGGAGCAGTGGTCTTTACACCAAACAAGTTCAGGGGCACTTCCTTCCCTTCCAAGGGACCTTATGGGCAGCCTCCACCTTCGCAGGATGCAAGAGGAAGCAACATGCTATTTGGATATCAGGTAGGTCTGCCCAATAGTCTGGAGTAATGTAAATGCATGCAGCTGATTAATTCAGATTCATAAGCTTTATTAAGCTTAACATACATAAGAATGAAAGGTCTCAGTCACCATTATTGATAGGCTGAACCTGCATCTCCTGCTTTAGTTATCAATGTCCATTATTATGTTTTTGAAACATTGATTATCATGCATCATGCCACTTTGTCTCTTCTGTTATCCTCAATGGCTTAGCTCAAGTGCAAAGACATCTCTCCAAAAGAAGTGGATGCATTCTAGCCAATAGGTACTGTTGACTGAACAACTGCCTTCATTTTTCAACAGTTTATCAAGGCAACACAATCTGCCACCCAATGAACCCCAGTTTTTTTGTGCCTATCATACCCACTTACCTACTGTAAATATTAAAAATCAATCAATAGAGAGTCTGTGAAATCAATATTTTGATTTATTTGCTAGGCTGTCTGCTTCTTAGCTGTGTTTTGGGATTGTATATTATTTTATACCCTGTCCATGACTCCATAAACTGACTGAGCTGTCATCAATTGTTATTGTTATTGTTGTTAGTCCCTCTATTCCAGTGTATCCATTTTTTAATCTCCAGTTAGCTTGTGTTGTGATTCAAGTGATGTTCACTTACTTGCTTGTTTGATTATCTAGTTAATTTTTTCAATTGAACTCTTTTTGCTCTTGCTCTGCCTTGCCCGACCCATGGTCGCGCTCTTTTAGCACGGCGCGCCGTGCGTAGGCCGTCGGCTTCCCCGACTGACACGTGGACCGGCCGGCAGTGCCGTAAATATTGACACGGCCGCCGGCGGCGTTTTACGGGGCGCGGCGCGGCCCATGGCGCAGCGCCGCCGCTCGTCAGCGCGGCGCGCTCTATTGATTGTGCACTGCCGCTGGGCCCGGCGGGCGCTACGTCTGCAGCCGCGGCCCGTCACCGTGGCACGCCATCCGGCGACCCGCGGCGGACCGACGCACAGTCGCCCCCGTTGCCCGTCTGCTCCCAGCCAACTGATGACGGAATGTCCGTATGGCGTATGCGTTCCGCAGTTACCGCTGAGAGTTCAGTTCAGTACGGAGCGGGTTTAGTGATCAAGAGGCGAGGATAGTATCGGTATCTTCCGTTTTCATCAATAGCCTGCAACCAGTGGCGGATCTAGGATTTGAGTTTAGGGGGGGCAAACATTGCGCCGCCAGGCAAGTCGGCGAGAATTTCAAACGTCCAGTCTTAGGAACAAAAAAAAAAAAAACGAGCTACCCCTATTTTTCTCCTCGGATTTCGGGAATTATTTTTTTTTGATTTTTTACATTTTTGTCAGTCCGGCCAAGCCAGGGCAGCGCAAAAAAATTTGCAGCCACCCTGACTCCGGGAGCGGGAGATAGTTAGAGAATAGCTCACCGGCGCTATGGACGGTCCGTCCTCTACCTCCCGCATCACCTCGGCAAGACCTCGTCCGAAAGGTCCGCCCGCGCCGGTTCTCAAGGGCTTCTGTATCCGGAGACCGATAAGGGTCGCAGCAGCAGGTTCATGTGTAAATGCCCACGACCAAAGGCCACATCAGCGTACCTGCGATACTATACGCAGTCAGGGTTCGGTTGAGAAATTCGTAGGTGTTTTTCAAGTGAGCTGGGACGAAGATCAGAAGTTGGGTTATGAGCCGTTCCAAAAACCATGTCAGTTTATCCAAGGGGTCACCACAGGCTGAAACTATAGGTCTAAGGGGCATATCGGGCTTGTGGCTCTTTGGTAGACCGTATAGCTCAGCAGTCCTAGAAGAGGAGGGTTTTATCGCGTTGACGACTTTGTCACTGACTTTCCCCGCTAGGTTTGCCGAAATGATTCTTTTTGTCTCAGCTTCAAGTCGGGGTGTGGGATTCTTAGGCATCTGTTCAGGGATGTGATAGACTGTGCTTTTTGAACATATGTATCCTTAGGCATAAGAACAAATCCTTTGCCCTTATCAGAGCGTTTTACAATCATTTCTGGATCGGAGCGAATAGCATCTAAAGCGTCTAAATCTTCTTTTGAGTGGTTAGGTTTGTTCGTGGTGCGATGGTTTTTGAAGCAGTTCATGACCTTTTGTTTGAGTGCTCTGAGTGCACCTTACAGGCCCGGCCCGGCCTGTACCGCTTTTGAGAGGCTTATATCTCATCAACCGCTGGACCGATTGGCCTGCGGTCTTTTTTGTTGGGTAGCCCCATCCCTTCTACCCCGTAATTGACTACTTTTGATACATCTCAGTGACCGTCGTGGCACGTGCCACGTGAAAAGTCAAGGGTGTTCAAGCTGTTTTGCAAAAGTAGTGATTTTGAGAGGCGCATATCTCAGCAGCGGCTTGAGCGATTGTCTTGCGGTCATTTTTATAGGGTAGCTGGATCCCTTCTACCAAAGGTCGGATACTCTTCATCTATGTGAGTGACCCCCACTGCACGTGCAAAATACAACAATAAGAGGTGCCAAATTTGTTCCCATTTCAGTAACTCGGTAATTACTGGGGCGATTTCGCTGAAACTTGGCATACAGGTAGGCACCCACCAGGCAATGCATTCCCAGGTGTTGCGGTTAGGGTGCTACTGCACGTGCGCACGTGCAGGGGGCGTTTCCAGATCTCGAGAACGGCTGGGCCGATTGCGCTCAAATTTGGTACACGGTTGGGGACCAGTTAGTAGGATGCCGTGCAAAGGTCATTTTGGACCCCGTTTGCACGTGCGCACGTGCAGAATGCCGCTTTCAGATCTCAGGAACGGCTGGGCCGATTGCGTTCAAATTTGGCACACCGCTAGCGACCAGTTAGAAGGGTGCTTTGCGCAAGCCCGTTGGAAGCACCCTCTCGCCCTTCCGCACGTGCAGGGCTCACTATCTCGCTCGCTCGTTCTTCGCCCAAAAGGCGTTTTACTGGTACAATAAGTGTTACTTTCGAGAGGAGATAAACGATGCTTCAACAGACTACATAGGACCACAGCGCAACAGCCAACGGAATCACACTGAACAGCGTTAAGTTCCCACAACATACTGAGCTTCTCCAACACCTCGCAAGACGCAAACCAAAAGCTCTGACTGAGCCTTTCTGTGTTTGTCCCCGTTAGATAACGGTATGGCTCATGAAAAAGCCACGATTGGTAATCTTCTTTACGTTATTCCTCTCAGAAACCTATCTCGCACTTGTTCTCAAAGGCACGCAGTACACCGTTCTTTCTGGCCATCACTGAGTGACACAGCGGCAGTAGCTCAACCATATCGTTCACTCAACCAGTTCTATCTCGCCTGCCATGTTACAGCTACCACCAGCGCAGCTTTACTTCACATTTCACAGCGTCTGACTGCCACATTGTTTACCCATCACTAATCCCCACCGAACTCATCACTAATCCTCACCGACACCCTCTCCGGGTCAGACGGTTTGTTTACTTGGTTCAAGGTTTCAATAAATCGCGTTTTTTTGTAGCAGTAGCAGTAGTTGAGCAGTAGTAGCACTGCTGATGGATGATGGACTGACTTTCATGGGGCGGAGGACTTTTTATCATCTCACAACTTAATATCACGAATATGACAACCTTCTAGTCCTCCATTTATTTCACATTTTCTTTTCAAACACCATATTTTTAGTATTCAAGTTGTAGTTTTTAGGGGGGCAAAAAGATATGTTTGCCCAGAGGTTTTCCGTTTAGGGGGGGCAATTGCCCATTTTGCCCCAACGTAGATCCGCCACTGCCTGCAACGTGCATTTTAGATTATATATCTTGAAAGGTCATACGTTGGTCCAGTCACAGTATAATGATGAAATTTTATGGTTGAGTCGCCAAGCTTAAATGCGACTTCACATGAAGAGAGCCGTAGAAGAACCATTATTTCTATCCGGGGACGGTGCTCGCTGAAAATGGTAGGTAGGGGAGAGTGGGGTAATTTGGCCGGTGGTGTAAATTGGCCGCCCCCACCTGTACGAAAGCTGATTAAAGTGAATGAAATAACTTTAGTCTCTATTCATTTGTCATGGGCAGAACTAACTCGAGAGCAAATGTCAAAACTTTCCCCCTCTTAGTTTTATTCAAAATTAATAAAAGGTGAATTACCTTAGAAAATGGTAACTTTTACTCCCGTTTAAAAATTTGTATAACATGTAGTGTTTGGGCTGTAAACGAATTCTAACATTATAGCGCCATTTTTGAGGGTGTTCAGCGGTTCCAAGAGCAATTTCATCTAGTTCTGTACAGCCATGACGACTTTATAGACAAACATTTTCAGAATGGCAATGTGGGGTTATTTGGCCGGGACTAGTGGGGCAACTTGGCCGGTGCGCTCAGAGTCACTATGCTGGGGCGGCCGAGTTGTCATCAATTATACCATAAAGGACATAATTCATGACCAACTTTGACTACCTTGATGCCATATTTCCTATTGGACAGCTGTAAGGGCATGTGACGTCATCAAAGGTTATATAACGCTTTTTTGCTAATAAATACTTACAGAAAAAAGGTACAGCCGCACAAATGGTCTCATTGTGTTCAGCTCGTCAAGGCGCATCGAATGATATACATGATGACCTTGAACTCACGTAACCTTGAGGTCAAGCGACCTGAGGTAACGTGACCTGAAGCCAACCTTTGACCTTGACCTCTCGAGGTCAACACATACATTTTTCGATGCGGAATGACGAGAGAATTACGATGGTACTTTTAGTTTTGGCCTAGCTTGATTAGTTCAAAAGTTATTCGTAAAAAAACTGTCATCGCATCTAGAGCCGCTATTTTGACTATTTTCGATCCCTGTGACGGCTGAGTCAACCTCCAAAATGCTTCAAATGCATCGTAGGACACGCGTCATTGCTGAATGTGAATCTGACTCACCTATAACAAAAATCATGGCCTCAAACTAACACCGGCCAAATTGCCCCACACCCCCGGCCAAATAACCCTGCTAGTGGGGCAATTTGGCCGCTTTGCAGACCTTTGTAATACGCCACAATTTCAATATAAGTAGTTACTCAATCATTTCAAGTTTACTGTCCAAGAAAGTAAAATGTATGCCACACTTGTCAGCGTTGAGAAAATGCAGAAATGTTTTGTCGATTTTTAGTTACATCGTTTTCTAAAAAAAGCGGCCAAATTACCCCACTCTCCCCTATACGGCAGTTGGCATGGTTACGAAGTTCAGCGGCGGTGCTTGCAAATGATCTGGGGCGTATCAGCTGGTGTCTATTCGAGTGGAGGGCTCAATGGGGGGGGGGGGGATTCGGGAGTGGAGAGGGACTATCGATTTGGCACAGATCAGCTGGGGTGTATTCGACATTCGTGGCAGGGGTCCTGTCTCCAATCGCCCGGCCGTCGGTCCCCGTGACGGGTAATGCGTTCGGTAGGGTCCGATGTCCGGTTGATCGGCTATCGAGGCTCGGGCCCGCGGCCGTCGCGTCGGTGGGCGTCCCACACCTCTCGTGCCCGGTGTCCATGGATGAGTCTGTGGGCGACGCGGCCGATCGACCGTTTGGGGCTAACGTACCCGCACCCCGCCGGTCTGCTGCTGATTTTTCGATTATGTCCGGGCTGAAAATATCCATATAGCCATCAGAACAGCCATCTATCTTATTTGATGTTCCTGTTTGTGTTCCAACACTCATCCCATTAAGTTGTGCCATTTGAGCTACGCTGTGACTTGAAAGGGATTTGTTTTTAACAGCATTTGATTACTCTCGAGCCTCGAATTCTACGGAGAGCAAATGCTGCAGTGGATGAGACGAATATCTTCCTTCTTATCTTACATATAATGTGTGGCGATAAGACGCAAACTGTGCTGAGAAATGTAACTTCCTGGTAGGTATTTGTACTGGCTGCTGTGCCGCTCCGGGAAATGACTGTGCACGCGGGTGTTTGCCCGGCGGGGTGGCAGAAGCTGGCGGCCTTGGTTGAGATGACCTCGCAGGTCGTCACCCTCACACCGGCCTCTGCCCAAGCCCCCCCCCCCCCCCCCCACCCCGTCCTCGCAGCCCGTTGCCATGCGCACGTGACTGTGTGGAGGACGCCACCGTCTCGCCGTGCTCCTCGCCTCCAGTGCCGGCGCCACCTGACCTTGTTCGGAACCGGTTCTTCTCATGGAAACGATCGGTGGCTTGAAAACTGACATCACTGCGGGACATTTAACAGGACAACGCGCGATGCCATCCCGATGGCGGGCCGCCCCGGCTGGTCTCGCTGATTAGCGGGAGACCGCTCTGTCGGTGCGACACACTGATCCCATTTTACCGCGCCGGCCGGCCGACCGGTGGGCTGCGCCTGCCCCCGCCCGCCTCCCGTCACACATCGATTTATCGGTGGCGCGCGCGGCCGCGCGAACGCCGCCTCCCCATCGACATCCAATCTGACCGGACCGGGGGCGGCTAATATACTGGCCGGAAATCGTCCCGGCCTCCGTATTGAATTATGCCTTGGCAGCGCTCTCCCCCGCGACGCGCTTCGAGCGGGCATTAAATCGGGGAAATGGTCGCTAAACTCTTGGCCAACTCAGCGAGTCGCGCAGCTGTAAAAAGGGTGCCGTGACTTAGCCGCCCCTAAAACGTTTCCTCACTTCAGGCAATGATATTTTGAGGAGCGATTGTTCGATGGAGCGAGATTGCCACCGGTCTCTGCATCTCTGGTCTCTGCCATCTTCGGTGCGCTACAGTGTCGTTTTTGCGCAGGATAGCCTCGATCCGTTTCTTGTCCAGTTAGTGTACACTGTGGAACCATTCTGTTGGTCCCTACCTGTACGACCTGACAGTGGCGTGTTGTTTATCAACCGGGCCTGTCGGTCGCCTTTTGGAAAACAGCTGCCCGGAAGCGATGGGATATGTGCGTGCTCCCTTGGGCAGGCAGTCGATGGCTGTCGATCCGCTCCCTGAGAACGGTCCAGTCGTTCCTTACCTTAGGGACGGATGTATCACAGACAACAGAGCAGTGTTCTTTTCGTCTTCGGTCAGGTTTGCTCAGGCCGAGTAAACAGCAGTCCATTCTATGCTAATGCATAAAGCATCGTTTCGGCTCTTCCTGGCTGGCGAGTCAGCTGTTCAACTCTGCCGGAGCGGCTAAATTTATACGTCCACCACCGGAAATAAGCATGGTGTTCTAGAAATTGAGTTGATAGTTGGGATTTTATATGCGTCGTATGTCTTGTTGATGGCTTGTTTACCAACCATTCGAAGTCGATTTCAATTGTTGTGACACTCTGGTATGGATATAAATTCACAGCTGTAAATTTAGAGGTGTCTGGAGAACGAGGAAGTGATGTTGTGGAGGTGTGATTTTAAACGTCCCAGCCAAGTCTCGTGTAGTGTTTAACCATTTCTATGCGCACTGAAGTGCGTCGGCAGTCGCCCATTTTTAAGGCACAAGGGGCACTAAATAAGTGCCGCGAAAATGTGCTATAATGTTGCAGTTTGTTGTTTGTTTAAAAAGGTGCTTATAGTTATTGCAGCTGGAAACTGCATGCACGGCGTCGCTTCTACGATGTAACTTCCAAATGTCAGACAAAAGAATCTGACTTTCCAAATATAACTTTTTCCGTATGACCATTGACCACCCTTCTGCTTTCAAAATCAGCATTTCTCCGAACGGCCTTACAAGGAACGTCGCCCCGCCCTGGACCTGTTTGGTCCCTACCACGGTCCCACTGTCCCGGCCTCAGCTTTTTCCCGGCTCAAGCCCGGCCACCTTCCCCACCCCGACCTCAGTCTCCGCCCCGTCCCGACCCCGCTCAGGTCATTTGCTCCCCGACGGCTCGGGGTTTCCCGTGCCTCCCCCGATGAGCTGGCGGCGCTGACTATCGGCACAGAGCTCCAGTCACGCTGCCGGGCCGGGCCGATCCCAGTCCGGGACGAGTTACGACTCTGTTTACACGAAAACACGAGTTGGCGTGCCACGTCGGCCTGGGCTGCCGTAAGGAGATACGGTTAGGGGGCGTGCTGATATATTTCGTACAGTTTCCGGTGTGACGCCGTGATTTTCTTGAAAACTGGTTATGACTTCTGTCTTTTTTCTTATGATAGTTGTTGTTGACTAGCCTTTGTTAATTTTTTTGGGTCTCCTCATTACGGCACCTATCCCTTACCCTTCGAAAGCCTAAGGGTTTGCCACCTTTGTTGTTGGCGATGAAACTGGGTACTGTGTGGGCTATTTTTTGCGTCATCCCGCTGGACACACGAGTGGCTGCGCGCTGAGTACCTACTGCTCCAAGCTACCGTCCAGCCTGACCCAGCCAATGGGTAAGCGGATTACGCGGCTTCGGGCTCGGCCGGCGCTCTTGGGGTGGGCGTTCTCTTCGCCGGCTTTGATCGGGAGCTGGGTGTGTTGGTGGTACACTAGCAGGATGGCCCAGTGTGATGTATATGATGTGTGGTGTAGGCTGCCCATCCGGTTCGCTGTTTTGGAGGAATATGATCACCGTTCGAATTCCTAACTGAGGCAGCTGCAGTGCTCTGACGTTCGTTGCGGCGCTGTTTCAGGATCGGAGCGGCCTCTGCTCGGTGGCGGAGCCGAGCCCTCTGGACACGATGCGCTCACTGGAGCACTACCTGACGGACATGGTGCGCGGCTGCGGAGACGCCGGTAAGTGGTGCTCCTGGCTGAGCCGGCGCTGAGCCCGGCAATCCGGGCCGGCAGTCGGGCAGGACACGAACGGAAACGGCCGCTGCCGGCGGCGGGCGGACGGGACGGGAGGGGGCTCGGGGTGGGGGTGGGGGGTAGACGGTGCTCTGACACAGCCTGGGCTGGCGAGAGGTGTTCTTTTTTGGAAGCGGTGGTGTATTTTTGGGTATTCTGCTGGATGCAAGGAGCAGTGATTTATGCCCTTTGTTTATTTTGTTTTCGAAAACGGCATAGCACATGGCACCCAACACAGTGAACTAACTGGTCAGATATTTCACGTTACCCCTTTCGAAATAATGTTATCTCAATGCGCAGGCTGAGAATATGGAATATTTTCAACCCCACTGGCTAAATAATAGCATAGATAACAGTACCTAGAACTTCTACTAACAGTAGAGTTCTACTGTTATCTATGATAATAAAAAAAAAAAATGCTGAGCGAATACTAAAGGTGGCTTATCTTAAGTACGGACATAGGTATGGGTGCTATTGTTCACAATCGGAATTGGCGTGGATCAATGAGAAAGGTGACCGCCACTATTGGACGATTGTACTACAAGCTTCCAGGCTCCGGCAATTGCAAACTGAAACCGTGCTGAAACACAACCGAGGGTGGACCTGCTGCCTCTTGATGTTCCGCCTTACGGCTAGTTTCGTCCCGTCCCTACCCAAATACGTATTTGTGCTCTCTGCAGCTCGCTTTGTTGACTCTCCGTAAATGTAATTAGTCGCTCTGCAATACTCGTATGTGCCAACTTCTATCGTGATTCTGAACCATCGTGAGGCGGTCCGAGCCGCCGTCTACGCTCGTTAGGTCTCCTGGGGTGACTGATTGTAATTTGCTGATGACTATGTCACTCCGGGTAGTTTGCTTTTGAAGCCTGGTAGTTATGGTTGTACTTTGATCAAGAGACAGAAGGGTGCGACGTAACTGTTTGGCTTTATATAGATGATATAATGAATCCTTTCTCTGCAATAATTATGTTCGAAATCTTGGCTTGCAGAGTTATGTAAATATACGATGCGTCTGCGTCCCAGCAGATATTTCTAAGCTCCTCATCTCCTTCGCTTTTTTTGTCCTCTATAGGTACTTGCAAAATGACCTCTATAAATACTTGCAATATTTAATCCATTATTCTTCGACATTTTTTTTTTTAGATATGCATCTAAAAAGCCATTTGCATCCCGTCTCACCTCGCTACACCTACACAATGCGATATCATTGGGACGGCGGTGACTGAGCTTGTGCTCGTGAAAACCCTCAAAGTCGACCCTCTCCTCTCATTGCCTCCCTGCTACGCTCCCGTCGTCGATCGGATCGAGGAGGCAGATGGTGTTTTTGTCAGTGCCTGCGCTGTTTCCCCGAACGGGCCACTTTTTCGGCGGCGTCTGCCATTGCCAAGGTCAGGGTTGCAACGTCTGTCTGGACAATGTCGTCCGCCGTGACTGCGAGTGTGCCGTGCTGGGACGGTACCCGCTCAGTTTCTGAGAGTGATGCCGTGGCCCCAACTGTCAGTGTGCCGTGCTGGGACGGTATCAGCTCAGTTTCTGGGAGTGGTGTGCCGTCGGTCGGCGACCGTTTGCCGTGGTCACGTGAACCCGCACGCGGCCGTGCACGGGAGCTGGCTCGGTGGCCGGCTCAATACGAGCCGCTATTGTCGGACATCGATCCCGGTGGCGGCACGGCAGGACGGCCGGCGGTGGTCGCTCTCCGCGACCGGATCCGAGCGGCGGGCATCGCTGCCAGGGCCGGTCCACCGGCAATCACCTTCCACAACCGAACGAGAGCGGTCCGCCGGCGATCACCACCCTCCCGGACCGAAATCATATTGTGTACTTACGACCTCGCCACTCTTCAGTGCAGGGCCTAAACGGAAAGCCGATCGGCTCTTGCCGTGAACGTGTGACAGACGATATGGGTCGGGTCGGTCCCCGGCGGCGGGTAGTTAGCGAGGCTGGTCGGTGGGTTCGCCCCCATCTACCCGTTCGGTTCGTCCTCATCCACCCGCAATTATTACTGGGTTGCCCGGAACACCGGGCACACAGCCGGCGTGGCACCGGATGACCCCGGCACCTGCTGCAGGGCACAGCAGGTCCGATAGTTGACGACTGTGTATGTGTGTGACGCGTGTGATATGCCTCAGGCAAGTAGATACATATATTGTCCTTTGAGGGGCCTGGAGAGAAATAAGACAGGAATACGCTGTGGGCTAACAATTCAGACACAGCTTGCATAGAACCTTGGGCTTAGTATGCCTACTGTTCAAAAATGTAAAACCAATAGCAAAAAGACGCCTCCTTCCTTTTGCGAGCGACACCGCGATACAAGCCCAATTTAGTGTGGTAGGTACGACGATGTGGCGGAGTTTTATGAACGATATACCAATATGATAGTATGAGTGCAAACGTTTGTGTTGTTGCAGGCTACCTGAACGGCGGCGGCAACGGTGGTGTTGGCCTGCACTCACTGGGACAGCTGCAGGGTAAGTCAAAGCCGAGCTCCCTTCCGCCTAGACCTGGGGTCATTGCGGAGTATCCCGGCCCCCATCTCCCCGGACGTTTTAACTCCCGAGTGACGCAATTTCCACACGCTAACGTCTGTCCGTGCTACCGTCGTTTCCCCTCCTTTCCGAAAGTTTCACCTAGCATGTGGGTGGCGCGGGCTGGCTCGACGTTACCGCTCTGTTTAGAATGCCAGTCGCCTCCGCGGGCTTGGGAATCGGAGTGGAGTCCCGTTCCGCTCCGCGAGTCTTGTATGATTAACATTGCTCATCGCCTGCAGTGGTGGCTGCTCGTCGTGCGTTTTGGTGACTTGGTCTGCAGTTTTCATTGGGTTATGTGTGCTCGACGGTCCACTTTGCCAGCGAGTGGGGTGTTGGACACTGCCCTGCGGGCCGTTGGCCCATCCGGCTGTCGCCCCCTGATACGGGCGCTTGCTCAGAAGTCGGGATCGGTGTTCTGTTGCGCTCACCCGTCACCGTTCTTTACTGGCTAGCTAGCTGGATGAAAGCTGCCGATATCGGTGTTATTTGCACACGCCGCCTGTCGGCTTCGTTTCATCAATCGTCCGCCTGTTTCATTTGTTACCCGATCTTGTCAGCGTATTTGCTGGCGAATTGCAATACCTGTCACATCAAACGCACATTGGCTCTGCGACTCTGCAATTCTGCATGCAGCCAACCATTTGTGAACCTCCTCCCACGAGGGAACTGTTCTCTGGGCATTTGAGGTTAATTAGAGTAGCCCGGACAGCGCGACAGCATATGCAAATTGGATGATTGAGCCGGCTGGGGAGCTGCTAACCGTCGGTAAAAGATTGCTCTACTTCCAAAAGAACATTTCCAAAATTACACCCGGCTGGTCATCGATCACCAGGCCCCTGTGTTTAGGGCGAAGTACGTCAACGAAGGCAGCTCCGCAGTGCGTACTGAGTCATCAGTTTCCAGTCCGGTACCAGGCTCCAGTCAAACTGCACGATTTTCCCAAACGACCGATTAGCGGCGGAAGCTGTTCCTGTCATTGGTAGCTCCATTCAAACCCGAGTCCGTACCCGGTCTGGACCGGCAGCCACACCGCCACACCGGCTGGCAGAGGAGGTGTTATTTCCAGTAGAGTCGTGATTAGTTCGCTCTTTAGGGTGGCCGTACTGCCGGTCCGATAAGTTGTCCGTCGCGTGTCGCGGTTGTCCTGCCGGGTCTCGTACCGGGCTGTACCGGTCGGTCGGCGCGTGCTGCATGTCCCCGAGGAGAGGGTCGTTTTGGTGGGCTGATGACGGTGTGTGGTCATACACGCGCGGCGCAGAGCTGGCTATACGTATGTGCGTGCGTGCGTGGCGAGTTAAATGGGTAGTGGTGAGAAGCTGGGTAATCGCTGGCGTTTTCCGCCTCCTTGGCAGAGTGACCTTATGCGGCAGTGGACCAATACAAACAATCACGTCGTGTTCCGTGTTCCGTGCTGTTGTAGGTGTGTCCTGTCCCGTGCCATTAAACCCCCGCCTGACGTGTGCCGTATCCGCAGGCAAGCCGCCGTTCTTCCCTGGCCTGGACGAGGCGGCGGCCGCTCATCTGCTGGAGGGTGTGGCTGCCATCAGCCCGTGCCGCACCTCGCCCCGCTCGGCCGGCTCTGCCGACAACGGCGAGCGCTACAGTCGCAAGGTGTTCGTCGGCGGACTGCCGCCAGACATCGACGAGGGTGAGTTCCTCTGGGCGGGCCGGACGCCGCCCTGTCGAGCACACCGCGTCCCCATGGGCCCTGGTGTATCCGATGTTTCAGTGGTAGCGCTGGGGCCGATCTGAAACTGTATAAGTTTCAGCATTGCAACGACGCTTCAGTACAGAAACGGCAGTCCGTGATGTAACTACCTGGGCTGGTCCCTTTGGCTTTCAGCTGGTAGCGGCTCTCCGACTTAGTGCTGACATATGATCAGGCTGGCACGGGGCGCTGTCAACCTGCGACGTGAGCGGACGTTGCGTGTAAGCTTAGATGACATTTGTAAGCTGATTCGCGGCGTTAGGCCGTAGGCTGTAAGTGGTGTGGTTATGTCCGATCGTTACACTAGCAGTGTAATCCGAGGCTGCTCTGTCTGCGCTACCATGGCAGTGAGTGGCAGGGGATGCACCGGCTCATGTATCTGCCCATACTCAACACGACCCCTATCTAAAAACTCCCCTGTCGCGCGGTGTGCTATGTAGTATGTCATGTCCCCATCCCTCGCTTTTGTGGGCTGGTATCACACACCCTAACCGTCGGGGATACCCGAGGGGATATTGACATCGCACCTGATGGCCAGCTACTGATTATCCTGTTATTATGTTCCAACTCGGGCGTACTGGCTATCTTGGCATGGCGTGCCACGTGCCTGCCGCTCCGGCATTACGATTTCTCGGGGTTCACGGGACACTCCATATCTGATCCACTCATTTATTAGAAAGGATCCATATTACGCATGGCCCTTCGTCCGATTATCTCCCTTGGACGGAGAGAATGTCCGGTGCGATCCGGCCCCACAGGTGAAGGCGAGATCCGATAAACTTTCACGCCTGCAGGTCAGCTCCGGCGCTAATCACGCGGCGACGCGGCCGGACCCCACGTTACGACGATAACGCTGATAGGCTCGAAACTGAACCGGCTTTCTGTTATGCTAGGTCGTTACTTGCCTTCAGGGCGGTGCACTGCGCCAGGCTGTTTTGGAGTTCGTCAGAAAAGTCATCTGTTTTTGCCACTTCTCTGGTTGTTTGTCTCTTCTCGTTAATTACGGTCGGTCCCAAAAGTTCTGGTGAACTTTCTGACGGCAGCAGCTGAGAAACCGGGACGCCGGATGTGCAGGGCCCCTGCTTATTTGATCCGGGAGCTCCCGTTTTCGCGGGGCCTTCCTCTGTGAACGTAAATAGCCGTAATGTTTGGGCGTATGGCCATAAAGTGCGATTGGAGGGGTGCGTGCGCGTCATTTAGCTCGCGCCGTTGGCCGGCGGCCGGCGCCGAACCGGGGCACCCTATCGCCACCAGCCGCTGACGCAGCCCTTTATCAAGCAGCTGCCCGATAAAGTAAGCGATGCCGGCCGGCGGTCTTTTTTTCCGTGGCCGTGCGGTGGCGCAGATGACACTTTACGAGCGCCGCAGGGGCCGTGTTTTCGACGCTCGGGCATTGAAGGGTGTCCGGTGGGGAAGACAGGGTGCTGAGCTCTCCCCAAATATGCACGGCGTCGGCCGCTGCGCTGTGCGGACAGCACAGTTGATTCGCTGTGTTGATATTTTGCCAACGATAGTGATCGTCGGACCCGGCCTGACGCCCGGATATGCTTGTTGAACGTTTTGACCATGAACCATCTGTCTGAAGGACATAGCTTGATCATCGGGTAACATTAACCTTCCAGGCGGTGGGGGGCATTTTTTGCCCCCCTTTAGTTTTTTCAATATATCTCGAGAACCGCTGCGCCGATCGTCACCAAACTTTCAATACCCTCCCGGGAGCAGCTAGCGCACATGGTGACCAAAATTTTTCCAAAGGCTATGACAGGTTGGCCGCTAATGACGTCAGAGTGACGTCATTTTTGCCATTTTCGACCCAAAAAAGGTTTCGTGGGAAGAGCTGTCAGGCCTACAGCTTTAGAGATACAGAAAAATGTTTCAGACATAAAAGGTGTGGAATCAAAAGGACTACAAAACTGCAATTTCGGTTTTTCGAATTTTCTGGATTTTGACCCACAAAAATAAAAAATAGATTTTTTGAATACAATAGCCAAAAAATCAAAAAAAAAAATTGAATTTCGAAAAAACCGGAATATATGTGATAGTCCCTACCGCCTTCTATCTACATACCAAATTTGAGATCGATACCTCTTTTTTTTTGGCCAAGTTATAGCGAAAAAACTGTTCAAAATTGATGACGTCAAATTTTCAAACTCAATTTTCAGCAATTCTAGACCTCGTAGCGCAAAACAAAGACCACCATTAGACTTCCCGTGACGAGCTGCATGGAATCGATACCCATTTTATGCAAAAATATCAACTTTGAAATTTGACCTTTTTTTACCTGACCTTGACCTGACCTCCACCAGAAAGTGACCTAAACCGTACCTGATGGTCTTATAACCAACACCATTGAGTTGGAAATGAAAAACTGGCCATAAAACATGCATCGCATAACCTTAGTAAAGTTGGGCTCATGTGGTGACCCTTGGTGACCTGACCTGTGACCTGACCTGGTATGACCAGTGACCTCTAATAGCAACATATGTACTAGACAACTGACGCCTTGTCGCTGATTTTCGACAAAATGCGTTTTACTCGGTGTTATAGCGCTTTCCCTAGAAACCCCGTGAACGGTGAAACATTTTATCTTTGACCTGACCTGTGACGTCATCGGTGACCCCGAGGTCAATGAAATTTGGTTTCCTTCGACAAATTTGACAGGGCTATCGAACGCCGTTTGAATTTTCCGGATCCGTCCAGTTGTTTCGGAGATACGGGGGGGGGGGGCAAAAAAATGCCCCCCCCCCCCACCGCGCGGAAGGTGGCTGGTAGGCCACCGCCTGCCGGATTAAGGCTTATTTTGTGTGGCCAGAGTTGCTGGTATGCTCCAGTGTCCCGGGTCCCGACTCAAGATCATCCGGTCCCAACGGAGACCGGATACCCCAACGGTACTGCGGTTATGTCATCGAGCTCGTTCTCGATGATACTTTGATCAATTAAACATCCCCTCGGCGACTAGGCCTACGCAGTTCCTACGCAGTTACGAACTTGCGACCTGTGAGGGCATCCTACATAATGGAAGTGGTGTGAAGCTGAAGTGTGTGAAATAACGATAACCGTACAAAAAAAGACAGCGTGGAGTGAGTATCTGGATGATATGATCTTCCCTGCTGTGTCTGTGTATCTGACTGTGACAGTACGTGTTTGTCCGTTCCAGAGGAGATCACTGCCTCGTTCCGCCGGTTCGGTCCGCTGGTGGTCGACTGGCCGCACAAGGCCGAGTCCAAGTCCTACTTCCCGCCGAAGGGCTACGCCTTCCTGCTGTTCCAGGTGAGTACCGCCAGATCGGCTGTATGTGTGTCGCTTGTCGATCGGTGGGCGACTGATTGGTTGGCTGGCGCGGAGCCACGGGGCAGCGGGTAGTCAATGGCTGCCTAGGCCGCCGGGTCGACGGACAGTTCCGGCACGCCCCCCCCCCCCCCCCCCAGGCCAAAAAGCTTACGAGTCTCGGTCTGGCAGTGGCGAATGGCTCCCAATGTTGGTACGATTCGGGCACCGAGTGTCCCGCTGGAGACCCGGGTGGTGTTTAACCGATGATAGCAGCACGCTGCTATTATACGTGTCAAATTGGGTTTCCATGGAGACGTCAACAAGCCTATTGCTTCAACACTACCACAAGTGTGACGTCAGTTCGCGAAATGGAATAGCAGCGTGCTGCTGTCACCGGTGAAACACCACCCCGATCTTTTCTCCCGCCGCACGCCGCTGGTAGCGCTCAGACACACAGTGCCATGGGGAGGAGAGGGTCGGGGAGGAGGAGGGGGGGAGAAGGGGCGTGGTGGGTCGCCGGGGCCGGGCTGTGAGCGCCGCCAGCAGGGAAAACAAACGGACTCGTCCGGCCGACCTGGGCAGCCGCCATCGATCCCCGCCTCTGGTCCCCGCGGCTTCAGTCGCTACTTCGTTCATTGTAATTGCCAGATAGCAGGCCTGTTATTCACGCGCAAACCTAGTAATACTAGAAGCAAGGGGTTGTGGAATTGGACTGCGTAACAAAATGAAGGAGTCGTATTCGGTTGTTTTCAGTGAATGGTGGTTGTCTATAAAATTGCTCGCTATTCTGAAATTGGACCTTTGGGCATTCCTTTATGTAGGTTTGTTACTTTGCTACTCTTTAACTGAATTAGCTTTTGTACTGCTCAGCTCCAATTAAGTTTTGTTCGCTCTCAGGACTGGTTTATCGGTCCCTGTCCGGCGCCCCGGCCCCGCGCTGACCTGTTCTCTCCCCGCCCGGCCAGGACGAGAGCTCCGTGCAGCAGCTGATCGACACGTGCATCCAGGACGACGACAAGCTCTACCTGTGCGTCTCGTCACCCACCATCAAGGACAAGCCGGTGCAGATCCGGCCGTGGAAGCTCTCCGACGCCGACTTTGTGCGGGACGCCTCTCTGCCGCTCGACCCCCGCAAGACGGTGTTCGTCGGCGGCGTGCCCCGTCCGCTGAAGGCCGGTATGTGGACAATGGACGACTGTTGACCTGTGAAACTGAACGCTGAAACTGATAATCGGCCATCACTAGTAGAAACAAGTCGATCTATTGCACGGCATCAATCTGTAAAGCCTGCCTTTCATTGTCAACTATGTATCCTTCATTTCTGTTTAGTATATTGTAATAATAATGTGGCCATTCCACTATAGGTACGCGGTTCATATTTAATCGATGTTTTATGTTTGTGTTAAATGTTAATATCCTTCACCTTTAATACTCTCTTAAAATTCTCAAATGTTACTTGTTAACCAAATTGTAGTCGAGCCTGATTAAATTATTCGTTTGCTGTTTCGATGGTTTCGATTGCCTCCACCTGCATGTGGCCACAATTTCAGCCGTTTCTATCGGTTTTTAAGAAACGACCTGCATTTTATGTCTTTAGGGAGTCCTGAACTTTGGAACTTCCCAAGTTTAGGAAAGTCTGGATTGCGGTGCTGGTAGCGACTTGTGTTTATCTCAGAAGTCGCCGTTTGTAATTTCCGGCGCTGTGAAGTGTTTGTTGCCCCTGAGCCTTGGTGGCAGGCAGGCCTGAATATGTTTTATTTTTCATTTATTTTTCCCTAATTTATTTTCTTACGGCCACTCGGCACCTTTTTACAACTGCCTGTTTCCGCAAATTACCGGTAGCCCGTGTAGTTTGGGCTAATAGCCAGTGCAGTTTACCATGATCATGAATGGCGGAGTATGGCCTGACCTGACCTCCGTTTGCAATTAGCCTGGCGATGATTATTGACCGCCTGTACGGTGGAGTGTGACCTGACCTGACCTGACCTGACCTCTGTCCTCCCCCAGTGGAGCTGGCAATGATCATGGACCGTCTGTACGGCGGCGTGTGACCTGACCCGACCTGACCTGACCTCTGTCCTCCCCCAGTGGAGCTGGCGATGATCATGGACCGTCTGTACGGCGGCGTGTGACCTGACCTGACCTGACCTCTGTCCTCCCCCAGTGGAGCTGGCGATGATCATGGACCGTCTGTACGGCGGCGTGTGACCTGACCTGACCTTCTCTCCCCAGTGGAGCTGGCGATGATCATGGACCGTCTGTACGGCGGCGTGTGACCTGACTCGACCTGACCTGACCTTCTCTCCTCCAGTGGAGCTGGCGATGATCATGGACCGTCTGTACGGCGGCGTGTGACCTGACCTGACCTGACCTGACCTCTGTCCTCCCTCAGTGGAGCTGGCGATGATCATGGACCGCCTTTACGGCGGAGTGTAACCTGACCTGACCTGACCTTCTCTCCCCCAGTGGAGCTGGCGATGATCATGGACCGTCTGTACGGCGGCGTGTGTTACGCCGGTATTGACACGGACCCGGAGCTCAAGTACCCGAAGGGCGCCGGCCGCGTGGCCTTCAGTAACCAGCAGAGCTACATCGCCGCTATCAGCGCGCGCTTCGTGCAGCTGCAGCACGGCGACATCGACAAACGGGTGAGTGGGGCGCAGCCTGGGACCGCTGGAACGGGGGCGCTGGAACGGACAGCCGGTTCCAGCTACCGGCGTGTGCGGCTCCTGCCGCTGTGACTGTTCTGTCGTCACCGCCAGTCTGGTATTTCAGCTTCAGTCTGACTTCACCAGTCTGGCAGTTTCCGCCAATAGGACTTAGGAGACGTCTCCGCCAGTCTGACACGCCCCATTCTGTCTTACCCGTCAGCCGGACTTGATTCCAGCCTAATCTGCCCAGTACCCACCACTCTCACCTGTTCAGTCTAGTCTGACCCACAACTAGTCTGAGCTCCCGTCCTGTCTTCTGACCTCCACACCATTCTGACCAGCGCTCGTCTCCTCAGGTGGAGGTGAAGCCGTACGTGCTCGATGACCAGATGTGCGACGAGTGCCAGGGCGTCCGCTGCAGCGGCAAGTTCGCACCCTTCTTCTGCGCCAACGTCACCTGTCTGCAGGTGACTGAGCCTGGCGTACCGCGTCTCTCTGTGCGCCCTCTGCCTCAGTGATCAATGAAAGCTAGCTCCCAGCCAGCCATCCCAAATGGGGCCCACATGGGCTGGAAGTGGGGCATCTGGGCGAATGTGGGCTGGGCTACATCTGGGTATGTCATGGGCGTCCAACTGGGTCCCAGATGGGCTAGATGTGCTAACTTTACGTGCTGGACTTGGCCAGCGCCTCCACTGTGCCGCTACTGCCTGCCTGATCTGTGCCGCTACCCTGCCAGACTCCTGATCTGACAGCCGCCTGGGCACACCCCTGCCCGCGTCCCTGCGAGGTCGCTGATACCTACTGCGTCGCCGGTGTTCGTTGTGTGGTGCCGCGGCCGCGGGGGCGGCCGCGCCGGCAGTTGGTGACTATAAATAGACGCAATACGGCGCTGATGGACCGCTCGGGCCTCTATCACTATCGTTACAAACTCTTCCCTTTTTTCACAATAGGTACGCATCCACGCTTCCGTTCTCTACCGGCCGCCGGCCGCCTACCTGCGGTGTTAGCGTAGTGTAGTGGTTAGGGTCCCCGCATCCTGTTCCATAGGTCTTGAGTTCGAATCTCTGGGGATCTAGTGAGAAATTAAATTCCATGTGCGCTTTTTGCATGTGTCCGTCTGAGTCCCAACTGGGAAAGCCCGTGTGGGACCCATATATATGCATATATCCCAGCTGGGTCCCATATGGGCCCCACTTGGGCTGCCCATGTGGGTCCCAACTGGGAAAGCCCATATGCGGGCTCAATACGGGCCCCAGATGGGTCCCACATGGGCCCGTCTGGGGTGCCCAGATGGGACCCAGTTGGACGCCCATGACATTCCCATCTGGGTCCAAGGTGGGCAGCCCAGATGGGTCCCAGTTTGGAGCCCACTTGGGGCCCATGTGGGCCCCACTTGAGAAGGCTGGCTGGGCTGTGGGTGTGGGACAGATAATACCTGACTGTTCGGGGCGTTGGCGATCGCTCTTCTCACTTCTCACCTCGCGGACTTGACGTGTGACTGTGGATGGATTGATGGTTGGATTCCCGGAGTGGCCCGAATGTTCTCTAGTGACACGTGTCTGTTCGCACCAGCGCTACGAGAGACGCCACTAACGCCAGTCTGTGTCCGTCTGTTCCAGTACTACTGTGAGCACTGCTGGGCCACCATCCACTCCCGGCCGGGCCGCGAGTTCCACAAGCCGCTGGTGAAGGAGGGTGCCGACCGGCCCCGCGCCGTCCCCTATCGCTGGTGCTAGGTGATCGCGCCGCTGCCACGCCACGACTAGTCAACCCAGCTGCAATCACAGTCAGTCGGTTGCCGACAGACGACGACCCGTAGTTCTGTCGGCGTCAGTCCACACTGAGTCAGTCCACAGAGTCCACACAGTCTGTGACGTCTGTCCACATTCTATCAGCGTCTACCGGTGTCTGTCCACAGCCTGATTACGTTAATCCACAGTTCAGTGGCGTCGGTTCATGACACTTTAAGACGTTAATCCATAGTTCAATGGCGTCAGTTCCACATTCTAATGACATCAGACCACAATCCGATCACGCCGGGCTACATCTGCCGGCGTCGATTCTGTGTAGGTAGCTGCTGGTAGTCTGGCTTATGCTGGCGTCCCACACAGTACCCTCTAGCGGCACACCGGACAGCCGAGTGGCCCCTCTGTTAGTGCCATAGACTAGGTGTTAATCGCGTACAGTCGGTGGGACGCACGGGCGGGCGGCCATAACCTCAACTTTTACCATGGATACATGTGTGTGTAAATATCAGTAGATTATAGTCACCTTGTAATTAATTGTCGGGCCTCTCTTGTATTCCAGTTGAGAGCCGTTTGGATGCATTTTTTACTTTCGCATTTTTGTATTGTTGGCGTTGCAATTGTATATAGATTATGTACAAATAATCGGTATTTATATGATGGTTCTTGTAAAAATCGTATAGTTCCTCCTTATTTTTTGGGCTGCCTTTTTGTACCTCCCGCAATATTAACTGTTCGTACAGCCGCTGCACACATTTGGCGCAGTGCCGTGAGATCGTGATGGTGCGGCCTCCCGCACCGTATGCTCTGATTACCTGTACATAGTTGTAGTTTTGCTCGAGCCGCACGCTGCTGCGGCCCTGCACACCTTTTTGGCCGCCCGCCCTGTCAGACGCCCCCGAGTGCAGCGCTGCTTCCGACTGCACCGGCTGCGTTCTAGCGTTCTCGACACACTAGGCATTTTCGGGAGTTTTGAGCCCGGTAGCTTCGCTACGGGGTAGGTTGAATTACATGTGATAGTCGTATTTATCCCCTAATGTGATTGACGCTAATTTATGCAATTAATTTTCTAGTTCATACATTTTTATTTTCAGTATGTTATTCACTTATTTACGGCGAATAATAGGCTAGCTATTCAGCGTGTTGCGTGTTTAGATTGACTGCTTTTCGTTAATATTTATGTTTGCGTGTGGTGTTTCGCTGCGAGTGTTTGGGCGGCGGGGCGCGCCGCTGCGCCGGCCCCCGCCGTCCTCCCTGTCAGTCCGTGTTGTGATAGTGAGTCAGGCGGCCGTCTGCCCGGAACCACATACACCAGATGCGGGTCACCATGTCAAAACGGGGCGCCGGCCGACCGCCCCGCCCCGCGCCGAGCTTTCACACGCGCCGGTCCCCAGGGCTCAGCTCCATAACCGGGCGGCCGCGCGCCGCCGCCGGGGCCCGGGCCCGTGTAACTGCCTCCGCGCCCTGTCCCCACCTCCGCTCGGTTGTGCACGTCGGCGACTGATATTTGTGTGATGTAGAAATGTATTTTGAGTGGTTTGTACTAAATTCAGTGTATTTGATTGTGGTCCCAGTCCGTGTCCATCGGCCGTCGCGCACCGTTTGCCATTTTGTCCCGAAATCCGATGTAGCGGCTGCCGTATCCCTCAGCGCCCATCCGTGTGTGAGTTGTGTGACGGGTCGCCCCCGCCGCAGCCTCGTTGACAAGTCGTTTTTAAGGCATTTTCTAATTTTATAGTTGTGTCTGGGACCGGGGAGCCGACCGACCGCCCGGCCGCCGGGTGTCGACCCTCTTCATTTACCCATTTGAGGAGTTTTTATGGTTATTTTGTTGTCAGACGTTTTTATGTTTTATAAATAAGTAAAAACGCAAATAAATAGTGTTGTGTTTTGTTTGTACTGCAGTTTTTCTACTCCAGCTTGCCATAGTTGCCACTGATTCCGGGTTGACCGCGATTGTAACCAGTCGACCTTGGTCCGAGCGTTTATCGTCCACCTTGTATTAACTTATTGTAACTATTTCAATAAACTGCTAGTCAGCCTCCCGTGTTTTATATCAGGGCCCTGGCTAGGTCCAGCGCCCTAAATCGTCGGTGTGAGGTTGAGACGGAAGACTGAACGGATTGTAACTCGTTCAGTCGTAACCTTTGCACCGCGCCCAATAACTTCAACAGCCTGGCCGGGAGCTGGGAAAGCGTCCGCTAAGCTGACGCCGGAGTGGTGCCACGCTTGGACATCGAATCAAGGGATAGTCGGCCGCAGTTAATACATGTATTCCCCAAATATTGCCCAGTAACCACAATATTGCACACCGGCCTTCGGAAAGAAAGCGATTATGCTTAGCAAGGCGCCGGCATACACTTCACATCTGAGACGGCACCATTATCCAGTCGCGTACTGCGCGCCGATCTACACACTGGTCAATGTTGGACGGAGTCTGAGGCGCTACCAAGTACCCTGGCACCGAGGTTAGTCGCGGCGGAGCGGAGCGGACTGGCACTGCAGTGTGGTCGGAGACCACTGGTCTGTCTGTCTCTGTCGGACGCTCTCACAGAACTGCGGAGACTCCCATGTAGGTCCGGTCAAACTCCAGTCTGGTCCTGTTCAGGGGCCGTTTTGGTTCGGTTCTGTTCAGATGCTGGTCTGGTCCGGTCCAGACGCCGCTCACAGATTGCCCCGTCTCGCCTGGTCAATCTCGATGGCGACGAACAGCGCCTTGAAGTTACCGGCTCCGAAACCCTGCAGGGTGGAAGGAGTGGGACGTCAGTCGAAGCCCTGGCCGGGATGGAGCTAAGCTAGCTACACGCACTGTGTGCGGCCTGCATCATCAATCACACAAGCTTCCACTTGCTGACATACTGATTGGGAAGCAGCGAATGTGAATGTTCAGAGCCGGGAGTCAGTCAATCAAACCTTTTCACGAAACGAAATTCGTATACTTTATCAAGGCCAATACATCTGTGTTGGATCGCTTTGTGCTCTTCGTCGGTGTCTGATCCCGATTCGCCTCACCTGATGATTGTTTCGCTGAATGGCCTCAACGAACAGCGTCGGTCGGTCCTGCATGATCTTGGTGAAGATCTGCAGCAGGTAGCCGTCATCGTCGTAGTCGATCAGGATGTTCAGCTCCTGCAATTGACAGAACAGCATTTATGGCGCTCTTGCAACGAACATGTCAGCACGCTCAGCCTGTCAACCTCAGACGACTTCAGCAGAGGGTCTGGTTCTCTCCCGAGCCTATCGGAGCCCGCGGAGGCCGGATTGCAGATTGGTTCCAGCAAGGCGTTTCTGAGCCGACCAAAGGACACTTCAATGCACTCTCCAGCGTAAGCCTTCTACGGTGGTGCCACCTGCCGATCATTGGCGGTACCGAGGGCGATCACCGTACAGGCACGACTGCCTCGGCCGCCAGAGGTTGAGAAATGTGGCATTGCTTACCTGCAGAACGTCCAGGTCTTCTTCCACCTTGACCTTGGAGTGTTTGAGCTGTTCTCGCAGCTCCTCGTAGTAGGTGTCGGGGATGGTGAGGAACTCCTGGCCGCGCGCCTTCATCGCTCGGATCTGAGTCAACAAACACGGCATGGGTACAGATGTCAGCATGCAAGAAGTCGTAGTCGCACACACAGACTGGCAGGGATCTTAGTCATTCTACAGGTACTCGTAGTCAGCAGGCAGTCACAGAGAGACGCATATGTTTTCCAGTCAACAGACAAACAAAACATCAGTGACGAGTTCGACCATTACGCGACGATTTGGAATACCACTCACTTCGATTACTCCAGCCATCATCCTGCTCTACTGCCCCGGGTGATACACCCGGTACTGCTGCGGATGGTGGCGATTGTTCTATACTCGTGCTACTCCTGCCCCTGTTGGCAGTTGTCAGTGTTACTGCCGGTGTCACTGTAGGCTGTCGGTGTCACTGTAGGTGTTGTGTTACTGCCAGTGTTACTGTCCGGTCAGCTGCTGCCGATGTTAGTGCTCGTGCCACTCCCGCCGCTGTTGTCAGTGCTACTGTTGGTGCTACTGTCGGTGCTACTGCAGGTGCTACTGCCAGCTATTACTGCGCGGTACTCACCGAGCCGATGATGTCGGTCGTGTTGAGAGCGATGTGCTGCACACCCGCACCGCCGTAATAGTCCACGTACTCCTGAATCTGAGACTTCCTCTTGCCCGGCGCCGGCTCGTTGAGGGGCATCTGAGAGAGGGCATTGACTTTCAACACACGCATGCTTTACGGAATGGTCTTAGTGTGTAAGTACAAGACAGTGGTGGTATAATTGAAAACTGATAACTAATTGAGACAGCGGTGAAACTGCCAACTGGTAAGCCTTTCAACAAAATTGAAACTCATCCATAAAGTCAGGACCTTTTTGATCCCAGTAAATGACGAATGAGCGCACAATAAAGGATTTAGCATATGGCCTGGCTACCATCAGCCGTCAGGTACCGGTTACACGCTTGCCAAAGGTCCCCCACTCCCCACTCCCCACGTCACGCTGCCGGCCGCACCTTGATGGTCTCGTCCCAGTTGGTGACGACGATGGAGCGCAGTGCCGAGAACTCGGTGTGCAACTGCTTGTCGTCGATAGACCAGAACCGGTGGAAGGCCAGCGACTTCTCGTACCAGTCGGCCACGTTGGTCATCTGCAGGTCGGGCTGGTTGCCCACCACGTGGTCGACGAAGCGCAGCCCCACCGGCGGCAGCGTGGCCAGCAGCTTGCTCTCGGCTGCCAGCGGCTTCTGGTAGCCGGGCAGGAAGAGGCCCGAGTACGAGCCGCGCTCCACCAGCGTGTGCGTCGTGTCGCCGTACTATCGGACGGGTGAGACGAGAGCGTCAGTGGCCGACCGTACCACAACAGACGCGTTATGGACCGGTCAAGCGGGGCGAATGGCGATTCCCGATGGTCACTCGATGACACGCAAATCAAAATCAAGTAGGTTTTGAAATCCGACTTTTCTTGCCTTGACCAGAATCTCGCCATTGGTTGATATACTTGTAAATGAAAACTTTTCCCGTGACGGAATGTCGAAAAAAGCGTTAAAATAGAGTTCCTTGGACAAAGTTACCTAGCTATCAAATGCCGTTAAAATTGGAAAATGTGTCCATTATGTGCGGATGCAAGAAGAGGATACCCAATATCCAGGAAACTCACAAATGTAGGAAAGAGGAGCCAGTGATAAACCATAAAGAGATCCATGGCTGCTTTGAAACTCTGCATCTCCTCCTGAATGACGTCCACCTGTCAGGTGACAGCCCTCGCTCTACACTGTCGTCAGGGGGGTCTACATTTGCATGACAGGACGATTGCTGCGCGATAAGCCCGCGATACAGCCGCGATACAAAGGCGGCAGGGCCGACGTACCGTCTGCACCACGGCGAATCGCACCGAGCCGCTGGCGTCACTCTCCTCCCAGATGTCCTTGACAATGGTGGCGCCGCGCTTCTTGGCGTGCTGAGGGCAGGGGTAGCGGACGCGTCACCGGCCGCCCGCTCTGCAGGGCCGTGAACCGTCTCCCGGGGGCACGGTCGGGCTCACTAACGGCTCATCAAGGAGACAACCGGACTCTATAATGGAAGCTAGGGCTAGGCTAGGGCTTATGGAAGCTAGGGGCCGCCTAAACGGTCAGGCCGTTGCTAATCAAAAACCAGTCATAAAAATTTGACAAGACAGTGATAACACAGCGCAAGCGTCAGCTCATTCGCACGGAATCACGTCTATATATATATATATATATATATATATATATATATATATATATATATATATATATATATATATATATATATATATATACAGTTGAGATGGAACACAACAGCGTTTTTAGCGTTTTTAGCGTTTTTAGCAGCGTTTTTAGCAGTGCCCTCAACGTTATAAGACAGGGGTCATTCGTACGTACGTGCGCAGAGCTCTGAAGATATGTAGTAGCTGGAAAAACGTGGACGAGGAGCTGAAACATGTCAAACAAATGCTCGTAAACAACAACTACTCTAACAAAGAAGTTGACCTTGAGATCTCTAAAGCCCTCAATGACTACATGAAGACAACACCAGCAGCCCAAGAACAAGAAGCCCAAGAGATGGTCATCCTCCACTATCGCAACACGATGACGTCAGCCTACAAACAAGATGAGAAAGTCCTCAAGAACATCATTCATCAGAACGTCGATAGGCGTTATCACAAGTGTATTCGCGGCCATTGGGGCGACGTAAGAAAAGAAGAAAACAACTGGCCCCAAGAACTTTAAGTTATCAGTTAGCATGCACCTTTTCCTTGATATGTAGAGAATTTACCATTAATTGTTAGAGAAAATTGCATTTAAAATCTTCCATTTATGCTTTTTTCATCGTTTGCACAGTATGTTCTTTTACTAAGCTAGAAACACTAATTAGAAATAGTTCCCGCATCATCAAGAACAATAGGGAAGGCTTGAAGTGAATACAATAATCTAAACGGTTTTGTAATCCATGTGAAGACACTTCTAAAATTGCCTGTAGAAATATTAAAGGCAAAAGTTCAACTTTTTCACAAGACGGATGGCTATAAACCTATTCAACGTGTGACAACTCAGCCGGTATTTCGTCGCCTACAGCCCAGCTTTCCCTAGTGACCGATAGAGGCGCTGCTATCGATGTCCGCCCGTGCCGCCTAACGTGAAACCGGCAGAAAACAGACGACTACAACTCCGGATCTACTACAAAAACAAGAGGACATCAAACCTGATCATGCGCAACAACATGCACCGAGAAGACTGGCTGCAGACGACCAACGTAGTCTACCACTGGACATGCCCCATTGAAGGTTGCAAACTTCAAGAAAAACCGGTGGACTACATTGGTCAGACTACAACCACGCTCTCTCGACGCCAGACTATGAACTTACATCAGCATCCACCATTCGAACATATGAGAGATGCGCACCAGCGGCAAATCACCCGAGAAGATCTCGTCGGAAATCTCAACATCCTAAAACACGAAAGGAACCACCGAAAGCTGGCCATCCTGGAGGCTGTCATCATCAGGGAGAGGAATCCAGTACTCAACTGTCAACGTGACTATAGTTCGTTTTTCTTAAGTTTGCCCCTCACTGTAAACGTCTTTTTGAACACAGCACGAGAATTGCTGGCTGAATTACTGAGAAAACTGGTTGGCGCACATTGATTTCACCAGATTACACAGACGACCAATTTCATCAATTTTATTTACTTTTTCACAGACTCGTAGCTCGTATTTGCCAATGCCTACAGCCCCACAGGGATAGACGACTTCTCAGGAATTATGTCCGAACTAATAAATAAATTGCACGGCGCTTAACATAACGTTAAATCGTCGGTCTTCAAAACTTATTTTGAAAATATTATTCATATCTACAATACAATGTGCGCTAACCAGTTTTCTCAGTAATTCAGCTAGCGATTCTCGTGCTGTGTTCAAAAAGACGTTTACAGTGAGGGGCAAACTTAAGAAAAACGAACTATACCTCGGCATTTTTACGCTCTGCAGCACCCATACACTGAAAAAAACTTACACCTAGAGAGTTATTTTTGGAGTTTTTCCACTCCAGTTTGGCGAATAATCACGCACCAATGGCATATAATGATTATGTTTTGTAGCGTATTCTTACTCTCTGCATTGCATTAAGGGCGTTTTTGAAAGTTATTCTTAAACCTGTTACTATAATCATCTATGTTGTGTTTTAGCAAGTGCTAATTTTATCTTCTAATTTTATCACGTGTCCTTTTTATTCTTTCGGGTTATAAATTTATATCAGTCTCAAAGAGGCATGGGGTAATTTTAGCTTATTTCACAGTGATAAACAAGGTCATTGGAATATATTTGTGCTGAACTCCCATTAGATGGTAATAAAATTGACAGCTAGAGTACTTTTATCAAAACTGCATAAAAATAAACCGCTGTGGAGTATTTAGGGTAATTTTTATACTCCATTACGGCTGATAAATTGACGCGACAGAATAAAACTATTCTCATGTAGGTGTAAAAATTACGTCCTTTGTGATAAAACTATCATGTCCGGACAATAAGTTTATAACCATGGAGTAATATTATGTGGTAACTGGTAGCATTACTAACATTATTCTTCGGGAGTATTCGGGAGCGTATTTCAAGCAATATTGTATCACTTTCTTGATAATCCTATTACGTTGTGACATAACTAATCTAAAAGTGATTAATCTATTCGTCCAGCACAGTATTATTCCAAGAATAATATTTTCGGAATGTCTCTGCAGTTCGCGACCATTCGCGACCGCCATTGTGCTCAAGTCGTCAGAACCAAGGCCTTCTGTCAGAGAACCGAGCAAGCGTCCCAGTCCTCGAAGGTAAGCTGAAATTACTGTATACTTTGTGTTTTGTTAGTATGACTTTACAGTAATCCGTAGTATGACCATACAATCCAAGAAATGCGTTGACGTAGATTTGCGGACGAAGATTTCCGCGATGATGAAATTCTGGAAGACAAATTGTCACCCATGACATGCTCAAGGCCATTGAAACCAGGGGAAACAGCCATGTCAATTACCCTGATTTAGGTCAAGTTGTGATCAAGATTGTTATGTAGAGCTAATAAGTTATAGATTTTGTGATATTTTTTAAACCATGCAACTCACAGTGTAAGTACCAATATAAGCATCACACTCAGGGACACTGTATGGAAATGCTCCAAATACCTAGGTATGGCATGATAGCGCAACTTTCTGCCTCCTGCCGTCGCCGCCGTCGCCGCCCGCGGGGTCATCTGACCGGTTACCCCACGCGCTGCAGTCGGCTCTGAGTCTGCGCCCGCCCGAGAGTCAGAACTGGGCTCCCTTGTCTGACCTGACCTGACCTTACCTGACCTGACCTTCCACAATGATATAATGTTCACTTGATGCTGCTTGATGTTAATTCCATTCATTAATGTGATTTTGCGATGTTTCCAGGTGTGGACTTACTTGGGAATGATCTTGGGGCTCGAGGAGGACGTGAAGGAGCATGTCCTGCACAAAATCAGACATACCGCGAAGAAGTACTCGTATGCCCAGACGATGATAAACGTGGAGTCGGCCGACAAAGACGGTGAGTTTTGAACGGGCACAAGCACACCTTTTCGGATGAGGTGTTCCGCTAGCAACACATCGTGCCGGGGGGGGGGATACTCTTCTTCTATATAACTGGGCTCGAGCCGATCATCGTAGACAATATATTCCTGGCCAGGGCTGGAATAATGTTTAGATCTGACTGATTTTTTTTTTTAGCGAATGTAAAGTTAGGCCTGAGGTATTTTCGATAAATACGAGGTCAGGCCAAAACATTAGCCAAGGCCAAGTGTAGGAAGGTATTTCCCACGCATGCTTCTTCCTGCACGATGGAGAAATGACGTTTCACATATCCCAATGGCATAATACATTAATAGCAGAGGGCAGGACAACTGTTTATTTTCTTGATGATTTTTTTGGCTTAAAGGAAGACTGCCACCTTTTTTCACCAAACGGTTTTCACTAGACCTAGCCCACCTATGACCTACCCTGAAGTCTGTTTCCCGAAATTCGGCCTAGTTTTCAAGATATCCGCGATTGGACTTCAGATTAAAGTCATCACAAATGTGTGGAATATGGGAATGTAACATTACCATGTTAAAATCCCATCTCCCACACTTTTTGTGATGGCATCAATGTGAAGTTCGAATGCGGATATCTCGAAAACTAGGACGAATTTCGGGAAACGAACTTCAGGGTAGGTCATAGGTGGGTCAGGTCTACTGAAAACCGTTTTAAACCGAAAACCGTAAAAAGGTGGCACTTTAACGACGGGCGGGACAACATGTTGTACCTCACCTTTGGACAGCCAATCGTCGTTGGTTTTGCTATTAGTCAAAAAGTGTTGTTTAACTCTAGTGATATTGAAAAGTCATGGTTGTCTCCATTCAGGCTGTCTCCATTCATGGTTGTCTTTATTGTCTCCAAATATACCACAGTTACATGCAGTTTGATACCTACTTGCACTCAATACTTAACCATGACAGCGGAACATCGGGTACTAATTTCTTATTTCACTGAAATATTTTAACGACGTATAATTATTTTGTAATTATGCACCACGTTTAGTTGTAAAAGTGTATCGCACTACGCAAACGTACTACGCATCGTACTACGATTTTGAGAGTGAAAAGAAATCAGGAAAAGCGAAGAATCGTCTCCAGATACTGTAGATGGCATAGCCAGCTACTGTACGAACGCGGTTCCTTGTTTCTCTCCTAGGTTTCCTTTACGTTTATTTGTACGATATGCATTGATGCCAACTGACTGCAATATTCTTTTTCACGGCAGACGACGAGCTGCTAGCTCTACTTGCCTATGGTTGTGGAACAACCATTGGCACCTTGGCGGATCCGAGAAACGGGGTTCGTCAGGCAGGTGAGGAACTATCGGTGGACGGTGTGGTGGTCTGCCAACTGCCGGCCACCAGGTTGGAGACCGTGGCCCTAATGACGGCCGCCCACGCTGTCTTCTACACAAAGTTCACGGGGCCCTGCAGAGCCCTGTTCGAGATTCTTTACCGGAGTGTGGGATTCGATGTAAAAAAGTAAACCTATCTGACTTATCACAGAAGGTGCATGGGAGGTTACCCAGGTAGTGTAGAACCAGCATCGGAGATGCCCACTTCGAATGACTGGCGACCTGTGGCTCACCTGTGGTTCAAGTGACTCGTGACTTGTGGCTCACCTGTGGCTCAAGTGACTCGCAACGTGTGGCACACACTACTGGAGCCTCTGTATTATGACTAATTCAGCTGCGGCGGTCTCAGTACGCCAATGAGTCTCAGTACGTCTTTCATAGCCCAGATCACGCTCGTTTTATATGCCATCCGTGGCGGTGGTTCTGTGCGCAGATGTTATTCGTTAGCCTCAGTGTTAACCCTCGCCCTGGCAGGGGGGGGGGTCGATGCGACCCCCCCTAAGGTTTTTCGAAGATAGCGTAAAAACGGCGGCGCGCAGCGCCGCCAAATTTGGCACAGCCTATGGGGCAACCTTTCTACATATGACCTGAAAATTCCAGGTCCGAGTGACCTTGGGTCAGGTCACCAGGTCAGAAAAACCGGTACAAGGTCATAGTCAAATTTCAATTTTCTTTTTGCACCTGTCCAACTCACAGTTTTGCACTGATTTCCTTCAAACTTTCAGGATGTGCTAAGTTCACCGAGTTGTATAACATATAGTTCGGGTTTTTTTTAGGTCACTGACCTGAGGTCAGTTAGAGGTCATTACGTCGTAATGTTAAGCCTATGGGAAAATACTAAATTCGGAAAATACTGGAGATATCCGCTTCGTTCTATCACTTTTGTGCTTTGAAACCACAGTACTTAAAAGCAGGTCACTTGGTACTTCTTTGTTTGGTGTACTTATCCTTGGGTTAGGTCAAATGAGGTCAACTGAGGTCAAATGACGTTTTTGCCAATAACTTGGCACATAATGACTCTAGAGCTTAAAAAATAGTATCATTGTGTTCCTGGTGATCAGCCGAATCGAATGATATGTGATATGATGCAATTTGGTTAACTTGAACTTAATTTATAAATTTAAGTTTACTTAAAATTTAAGAAAAACTTTAAGTACACTTAAGCAGGCTAAAAAGTATATCATTCGACGCGCCTTGACGTGCTGAGTTCACTGGCGCTTTTCTTTTTGCTCTATCTTAATTAGATCAAAAGTTATAAGCGAAAAACTTTTGACCTGTTTTTCGCGAAATTTTTACATTTATACCCCCCAAAACCCCCCTAAATATTGACCTAGAGCAACCAAATTTGCACAGGGGCGAGAACTCCAGGGGGCCCACCTACCTACCAAATTTGGTGTTTCTAGGTGCCATAGGAGCCAATCACGAGGGGGGGGGTCGCATCGACCCCCCCCCCCTGCCAGGCCGTGTTATGAAAAATGCCCTGCCAGGGCGAGGGTTAACCGTACACGCTCGTTTTATCTGCCATCCGTGGCGGTGGTTCTGTGCGCAGATGTTATTCGTTAGCCTCAGTGTTAACCATACACGCTCGTTTTATCTGCCATCCGTGGCGGTGGTTCTGTGCGCAGATGTTATTCGTTAACCTCAGTGTTAACCATACACGCTCGTTTTATCTGCCATCCGTGGCGGTGGTTCTGTGCGAGATGTTATTCGTTAGCCTCAGTGTTAACCATACACGCTCGTTTTATCTGCCATCCGTGGCGGTGGTTCTGTGCGCAGATGTTATTCGTTAGCCTCAGTGTTAACCATAACGCCCTTGTGAGTTGTGACCTTGAACGTCCTTCCAGTGATTTCGCATTGCGGCCGGCAGAGACGAAGTTTTGCCTCCCAGTTGAGACGCCGCTTCTCAACTAGGAAGCAAAATTACGTCCCTGTCGGCCGCAATGCGCCATCACTGGAAGTGCGTCCAAATTAAGATGTACCTGCTGATGCTCAGGTACCATTCGTTAATCAATTGTTGGTGCTTCAATACATTGTTTAAATGCATTCCTTATTTTACACTTGGTCATAATATTATCACATCACCCCGCATTATCAGGGGTGGTACTTTTACACCGGGGATTGATTTTACCGGGGAGTTACTCCGGGGTAAAATTATCGAAAAAAGGAGTGCTTTTTGGCATGGCAATATTATTCCCCGAATGGGAGTAATTTTAGTATTAAGTTAATAAAATTATCATCTGGTGTAATTTTATCCAAAGATAGCATACTCTTATCCTCCGTCATAAAATTACTCCCTAGCACGAATAATATAAGCGCTCGGATACTAAATATATTCTATACGCTAGTTTTATTCCCCAAAACTCCCCATTTTAGGCGCTTATGCCAGGTCATAAAATTATTCGATTGCAGGAGTGCTTTTTGGCATTCTAAAATTAGAAAATGGGGAGTAAGTTTTTTTCAGTGTACTTACGGTGGTGTTTGAACGCCACCACTGTAAGCTCCCACTGTCCTTGGAATTGAAAGGATTCCAGATTTCAAATGAACGAGCTGTAGTGTATTTTTATGTGATCATTTTCATCAATTCGGTCCTGAGGGACATTCATTTTCAAACTGTCATTATGTTTACTTAGTATCTGTGTATCGTCTTTCATTATGCTTAAAAACGATTTGTGAATAAATCGAAACCGGTCGCATTATAATGAATTTAAATGACATTAATTGGTGAATTATTATCAAAAACCAATGATACTACCAGAAACACAGTACGAAATATCGAGAAGACACAGAAGAAGTTAATCACTGCTAAAAACGCTGTTGTGTTCCATCTCAACTGTATATCTAACGACCTGTTGCCGAAGTTTACTGATATATATATATATATATATATATATATATATATATATATATATATATATATATATATATATATATATATATATATATATATATATATATATATATATATATATATATATATATATATATATATATATATATAAGTGGTGTCAATTTCAAAAAACGTATGTCCGATGTCCGTCCAATGTCCAATACTTACGTCGACTGTTCGTCCAAAAATGTCCAAGCCAGCCATTTGTCCAAATATGTCCGACATCTACGCAATAGTTTACACTCAACACCGTTATTTAATTTGCTTTTAATGTATCGTTACCAGCTCAAAAGTGTTATTATTTCGAAAGCTGAGCTTTCTAATAGCCAATCAATGTTAAACACGATTACTTAATAAAAATGTTGATGTGTAGCAAGCGATTGTCCAAAGTTGTCCAAAGCTTGCTGTCATTGTCCAACCGAATTCCGAACTGGACATTGGACAAAATCGGAATTCCGAAGATTCAAGTTCCGATTGACACCACTAATATATATGAACATAGCGCATAATATATGACGTATTTTTCATATAGAGAGAAGTACCGCACGACCGACATGCGCACTTAGGACAACGATGGCGACAACCTACCTCGGCTCAGCGGTTACCGGACCTACCTCGACGATGACGTCCAGGTCCTCCACGGTAAACGCTACGTCTTTGACGCCGTCTCCGTGTCGCACCAGGTGGTCGCCCATTTCCTTGTTGCCCGGCTTCAGCGCGCTCTTGAACACGAAGTAGATGTCGTTCTGGCGAACGCAGTGGGCGGCCACGTCGCGACTGCCCGTCTCCAGGCCGGCGTACGCGTGCGGCGCGAACCCCAGATGGGTGCAGTAGTAGGAAGCCGCCTGTCCGCGCACACAGCATTTTTATGTATAAAGGCGTAACAACAACGGTGCAAAGATCAATACAACGGTATGGCTACAGTGATGTAGATTTATGAAAACTGTAACGATCAGAGCACTGACTAAAAAGTCGGCAAGGGTGAGGTAAGGAGACACTACGCAGTAAACCTACTACCTACTAAAACCAAGCACATTCGTCGTTTTTATTTATTTCTGTCATTGGTTCATCGGTGTTGGCTGTGCCTATCGGTCTTGCCTATGCAATAAGCCGGATCAGTAATAGCATCATGAGTAATGGGAACGACTAAGACCCAAGCCGGGTTAAAGGGACTATCCTACCTTCAAAAAAGTCCTGTTTAGCATGCAAAAAATGAGGAATGTCCTAACTAAGAAGCAAGAGGGTAATATATACATTTGCAGAATCGGAGAGGGGTGCTTTTGACTGGCGACTTCAGCAAGGCGTGAAACTTGGGCCGATGAACTAGCAGCAAGAGAGACGAGCACAGTGAGGTCGCTGATTAACTTCGGCAAGCTCCGAGCACCACGACATTCCTGTCGTCACAGGTAGGTCCAATGTCGCCCTCGTGGCACAGCGCCTTTCCAGCAGCGGCACCCGCTTTTACCGCGCTCATCAGAGTGACAAGGGTCTACCAGCGGTGTCCAGACGACATACAGCTGTACAGCAAGATTACCATCAGCGGGGATCCTCGCGCGGCGACCCGCAGAGGGCAGGGCAGCGAGCGGGGCGGGAGGCGCCGCCGCCCCCGGCTGCTGGTGATGGTAGAATTCCGAACGCTGCGCCGGCGCCGGTCGGCCGGCCGTCAGACGCGACGGGTCGGCCGCCGGCCGCACGTGACCGGGCTCGGCAGCAGGGTCGTTGGGAGGGCGCATTTGGCACTCTGCCAGCGTCTGGCAGCCAGAGCACCGCACTCAAGTGCAATGAGCATTCCGTTCACGGCAGCAGCAAGACAACGGTCATCTTATGCCATTTGTCAGGCTGCGGGAAGCGCCAGTGGAATTATTTCTGGGGTCATCATGATGTGAATACCGATCTCACGATCACATCTTTTCTTCTAGTTTTCGGTTCAGCCGCGGCGGAGACGGTGATGTCCAATGGGGCTGTGTGGGAGGGGAGGGTTGCTGGTCAGCCGTGCTCACCTGTTTAGCATTGCCCACCCAGAAGGTGACGTGGTCAAAGTGGACAAACTTGCCGCCGGCCGGCTTCTCGCCCTTGTCCTCGTAACTCGTCTGGAACAGAAGGTGCGCGCTGTGAAACCATTCAGCTGGACCAGCCAACTGAGCAACGCTGTCCTCGACGAGCCTCAGTGTGCCGGAGGTTATACCTTATGGGCTAACCAAAACTGACCCGGGTTTACAGGGTCGCAACTCGCACTCATACAGACATTCGGTAACATAAACGTAACGATGCATTGGCGGGTTGTAAATCGCAAGGCGTAAAACATGCATTCCACAGTATATCGAGAACTGTGCATTCGAGCATGTCCTTATCCAACTTCCGTATGACCTCAAGTGGTCCGGGCCCTTGTCTATGGGATGTCGTTTCATTTTATTTCGCCATTCCTATCAAGAGCTGCTCGAGATCAGATGACATACAAGATCAATCAAATGCTGATAAATGATAATTACCTCTTCATTCCACAAAGATACTCGTCTGCAACGCTGCAGGCAACACGGCAAGATGAAAATATTGAGAATCGTTCGAAAAGGTTCGATGGTTCGGCCCATTTGACGCGACCCACGCTGTTGACGCCCGCCTGAGACCCTAAGGTCAAGCCCTCAGGCAGTGACTCACCATGATGTCCCGAGGAAGGTCGCGTATAGGTGCACTGCCCACGGTCGAGCTCAGGTGCGTTCCGCAGTGTCCAGTGGGGAGATGGTCCGTTTGACTGTCGCCCGGCCGGCCCCAGACGGCTGTCGCTGATTGGTCGCCTCTCGGCCGGCCGCTCCCCTATTGGTGGAGACGAAGGCGCGGCCGCGGGCGCGGTGGCGCGGCCGGTCCTCCAGGGCTGATCGGCGAGCTGATTATTCGAGGACGAGAGGGAGAGTTCGGGGCCGCACGGGAGACGAGCGCAGCAGCGGCAGACCCGGGCCCGTGTGCTCCCGCCACACTGCGCAGTTAGGATACGCGGTGGGGAGTTCACGAGCTGGTGCCCTTTCTGCGCTTGTCCACCGACCAAATCCACCTACTCTACGCTCCATATGTTTGACTTATCAAGGGCTGCTTTACATGTGCAATGTACATTGCGCACTTTCAAAGCTAACACTGCCTCTCATAGCCCCTTGCCGGATTAGGAGTGACCTCCCTGGTTTTGGTAGATCCTCCCTGCTGTAGATGATGCATAATTTGCCTGGGTGCTCACACTGCACACTGGCAAGACGAAAAACACTTGGAGTTGGACAGTGGTTCGAAAAGTTCCTCGACAAGCACATCGAATCGCATCGGTCCCAGCGCGATTTGCAGTCTTTTTTTTACGACCTAACATGTGGAAAAAAACTCACTAATCTGGAGCACCCCACTCATTTCGTTTGTTGATTTAGACTTATTCGGTCTATTTACAGACCAGTTAAGGGCCGCAGGAAGAGGACAATGGAGACATTGGACTGATTGGACTACACTCTATGGTGCGCCGCTGAGGCTGAGTGCACCGCTGCTGTCTGTCCCGCGTAAGGCAGGCAGGTCCTGTGGGACAGATGTGCGCACAGTCACTCCGGAGGAACATGTTGCTTTTAGAGCCGGCCCAATCGGCTGTTCGAAACTTCAATCGATCTTCAATGAGGAGTGAGGCAGCAGCTCTACATACCTCGTTGACGTCCAACGGCATCGCTTTGAGCGCCATCTGGCTTTCAAGAGGGCACCACCATGCCAGTTCAAGCCATGGACTTAGGAAAAAGACACACTGGCCATGGATGAGGTCATGGCTTCTTCGAAGGAACGAATTTAGTAGGAATATATCAACACTTGGATGCTTATATAGACTTTGACGTCATGTAGTTTCACAAATCACAGCTGAGATAATTTTGTCGTCCGAACCAACACATGTCGGAGCGAGACAGCGTCTGGCGTCAGGTCAGGGTCTGAACACGTCACATGTCACAGTACTGTCACCTGTCAGAACATGGAAACGATGGCCCGGTCGCTGCACCGTCCCGAGATGCTGCCCACCCGTTCTGCACTAACCCACTGTTATCTTACGACGGGGGGGGGGGGATGGAGGACAGCCTAGGTCATCGGGACCCAAGACATAATAATGCGCGTCAACTTTTATTTACTTACTACAGCCTACTGAAATTAAGCAGCTAGTGCAACAAAAATATTTAGAACCCTCAAAGCTAACTCGCCATTGTCATTCCACATCTTCGATGAGCGAATAGTATGACAAAGTGCAGAAAACACTTTCATCCAATGAGCCTGGTACGCAAGCGTACAGTGCCTGCATTTCCTCCACGCCTGAGTCCACGCGCTATGCACGGCTCACAAACACATACACACACACGCACACACATAAATCGCACGTATATACACAAAACCCAACGAAACAGCATCGGTATGCAAGTGAACAAAATCATACACTATGCCATACGGCTTAAACAGACTTTTTACGCAGCCATAAGATAACATTCGAGAGCCTATTGAATAGCATAAACCACACTCGCATCAATCGCAAGGATGGAGGTGCGTAGGATTGATTGATTGATCCCGCCTCCATGCGTACGGTTGATGTGAGCGTTAGTTGAGTCATTTAAAAGGCTCCCTCGTGTTATCTTCTGACTGCGGAAAGTCTGTTTCCGCCTTTAACCGGGAAATCGGTGCTCAACACAAGGCTGAAGACAGCCATGATCCCTGTGCTACAAGGAGCACTAAATAAAAACGAAAACATGGTGGGTGAATGGTGACACGAATGTTTCAAATCATCTTATCTTACAATGTAACACCGTCCGCCACTGTGAGGATACGTGAAACCATGGATGGTGTTAAAAGCGCCCCTTGCGGCACAGGCGCTGTCCGTGTGCGCGGGTCGTACGGAACCGCTCGAGACAGCGATCGTCTCAGCGTGAGTTAGTCTGTGCCGCGCTCAGCCTGCGGAACCCTGGGCAGTCTCCACAGGTTTGTCTGTCCATCGCTCGGCACTCACTGTGCGAGACTTCGGTCGTGCGAAGTGAATGCGACGCCCAGCCACACTAGCCTGGAGTGACCCAGCTTTGTACCTCATGTTCCTGCGGCTGCTGGGCCTACAGTTCATCGGCAAACACAAAGCTGGTGGAATGGACGGGCGCCTGCCTGCCGGCACCTACGGACGCGCCCCGCCGCCCCCTCGGCCGACCGACGCCGCGGCCCCGTCCGCGGCCGCGACCGCGCGGCCTGCCCACCACCGCCAAAGGAGGCTCCACGTGCTGAGACCAGCCATCGTCGATGCTCGAACTCTGGTCTTCGTGCTCGAACTCGATGAGCTCGGTGAGATCAACCGCGTTCCAGCACTGTTTGGCCGGGCTGGGCGTTTCGGCCTCGAACACCTCCACCTCCTCTACCACATCGTCCTCTTCGTCCTCGTCATCATCCACCTCGTAGGACCTCCACTTCTGCTTGGTGATGCTGTGCGCCTGACCGCGGCGGACGGGCGAATGCTGCTCGGCCGCCTCCATGTGATCCAGGGTCAGCTGTCCGGCCATCTCTCCGGCGGCGATCACCTCTGTCTCTAGCGGTTCCAGCTCGGCCACCACTGCCGCCGGCTGCGGCCGCGGCCGCGACCACGGGCCCGGACCCTTTATGAAGCGCAGCCTCTTCTGCTCGCGCAGCTCCTTGAAGCCGCGCGACACCTCGGGGAATCGTCCGAACGCCGCCGCGCTGCGCAGCGCAAACATCGACGGCAGCGGGATGTTCATCGTGTTGCGCACAAACTCGAACGTGCGCCGGCGGCAGAGGCGCCGCAGTGCGATGGCGCGCATGTAGTCTTCAGCCTCCCAGGGCAGCAGCCTCTTGCTTTTAAGCAGACGAGACTGCTGAGCTCGAGTGAATACCGCATTGAGAGCGTCTCGCATTCGCTCGATGATGGCCGCCTGGCGTATGTCACGCTTCACATCCCTCCCGATAGCGTCGATGCGCTGCGTGGTGGCGGTGTGCGCGTGTTTCAACGACGAGTTACGGAGTGCCAGTACCTCCTGGCGAAGACTGAAGATCATCCGCTTGGCCTCGAGCATGTCGGCCGGCACGGAGAGCATATCGTTGGCCAGCGCGAGCTCGACGGGCTCTTCCTCGGAGCGGAGCACCATGAGCGGGTGGCCGGCCGGGAACATGGCGGCGTTTTGCAGCGCCTGCTCCGCCTCCACGTCTTCCCGCCGGCGCCGGCCCGACTGCCGGCCTGTGAGCGACATCAGCGTGGACTGCGCGGCCGCCTGCTGCAACAGCAGCTCCTGCAACTGCCGCTGCTTGGTGGCCAGCTTCTGCTCCAGCACGCCCGTCTGTCGCTGCATCCTGCGGATCTCCTTTAGCTGCCGGCCCAGGTCGTCCAGGTCCTCGCCTTCGTCTCGCTGCTCTACCTCGGGCTTCATGAACGTCACCTTGCGAATGATGGGACCGCCATTCGGCAGATTGTATACCTCGGACTTCATGCTGGTGATTGTGCCTTCTACCCCTCTGGATAGCGAAACATTGGATGCTGCCTTACGCCGTTTGGCGGCCACGCTCGTAGTGGGAGCCCTTTTGCGTGGTTTTCCCACAGAAGCGAGCATGTCCAGCTTCTGGTCGCGCTGCCATTGCTCGCGGCGCAGCTGCTCTGCCATGGCCTCCTCGATGATGGCGGCGCGATCCTCGGGGTCCAGCGGCGGCGATTGCTCCCGCAAAGGGTGCAGCGCTTCCCACTCCTCCTCCTCATCGCCGGCATACTCCTCCAGCAGACTGAAATAGCCACAAGTTGTAATCGTCACCGGACAAGGTACACAGAAAATCGCTGAACGACAAAATATACAACAGCAAGCATGCAGTTATAATAGTACAAGAGCTGTGTTGAAAGTATGTGAATATCTGTCATTAAAATTAAGTTAGAAAGCTACAGTATTGACAGACTGCTTTCGTCCATTGACTTGGTATTTATTCATTTTATCATGCAATACAAACATTTATGATCTGCCAACCATGTAATTATTTTAGGTACATTTTCAATTATGGATGTTCATTCACTCTCAAAACAAAAAGCCCCACACATCATTCACTCTCAAAACAAGAAGCCCCACACACTGGTGAGGGAACCAATTATTTGAATCACTTTCCAACCATACTGAAGTGATTTTTATGCTGCAGTTCAAGTCCAGGTCATGTGACCTTGTATGTTGGCCATTAAAAATCCTGATTTATCTGCTCAGCAGATCTAAGAAGTTGCCAGTTTGCTGGCACTTTTCGGTTTCTCTAATTGTGCAGTTGCCAATGAGAGGCCTACACCAATTGGAATTTGACTGAGCAGATAAAGGAAAAGACTTTGCCCAAAAAAAAAAAAATCAGGGTGACTCATCAGTCATCACACAGGAGGTAGACGAATGATATGTCCAATGTGCTTAGGACAATTTTAACCCTAGCCTACCATAACTAGCAGGAAGGTAGCAACTAAAATAAGAACCCATTAAATCGTTGATCCTCCTTTTGCCCCCTTTAACCCTCACTCCTCTCGGGGGAGGGGAGTCGAACGGACCCCTTCCCTCAGTTTTTCGCGAATAACTCGCGCTAAAAGCGGGAGAACGCGAAGAAACTTCCAGTACCCTCGAATCTCGATTTAAGAAATCAATTTCACGCATACCCTGAAAATGTCATGACCCTGACCCAGATGACCTTTGACCTGTGACAAATGTTGAAAATAATGCCCTTTGCTGGTCCCAGCCGGGTCCAAACAATTTTGTTCTCCTTCACAACTTTATACTCCGGCACCTGAACTCTCTTTAATTTCCAGCCTGTGATGAAAAACTGATATTATTACGCCTAAAACATGCAGTTATAGCATTGAGAAAACACGTTTTATCAACTGTCACATTTAGGAGGCAAAACATTTGATTTTCCTGTTGAGTGTTCTAAAAGCTGGCCGGTTCTCCGGACAGATTTTATTCTCCGGGACCACGACCAAAATTCACAATTCCAGCATTGCCTGTGACCTATTTCTCGAGACCATGTTTGGCCAGAATCGCGATTCAGCGTATGTCCTCTCACATTGTCCGCACATTTGCAGTCTTTTTGTGGTCTTAAGAGTTCAAACATGTGAAATGATGTTGGTCACATGCATTATGGTGGGTGTCACGGTCACATGAAGGTCATGCCAGGTCATTGACATTTGATGAACCT